TTGGCAATCTTTTGAGAGCAGTTTTTAAGGCAAAATTGGGCCTGCAGCCCCATGGTAGCTAACTGTCCTGAATTCTAGCAGTGCTGAGTGCATGCAGCTCCTGCTCTGGTAAACAGGGTTGCATGTACTTATGTCAGCAATGCATTTTTGCAGTATCTCAGCAAATGTCAGTCATAGCTGAGCTTTCAAGCTTCTGCTGCACATAATGCCCTGATGCCGATATGTGGATGAAGGGATGGAAAAACCCAGTTATCCTGTGTATGTATTTAATAAGCTGTCTAGTCTGGTAGTTAATTCTGAAGCTAACGAGATGTGATTGTATGTTCTGAAGCAAGGCTGTTTGTCCATACATTTACATCCTTGGTTTAATCACATTGTACGTGGTTTCAGAGGCAAGTCTGAGGAATGTGGAAGAAATGTTGACTGTTGTATGCAATGTATACCATGACTGCAGCTATTGCTTTACAGTCCATCACACTTGGCCAGAGGTGCAGAAATAACACGCCTCTTCAGTAGATCAAAGAGGAGACACTGACACAAGGTGGAATTTCATCCTGTGAATGCTTGAGCTGCTGTTTTAACAACACAATACCACAATAAGCACTCGGTGATGCAGCACAAGGATTCAGGGAACTGAGGGGGAATTGTGGGCAGTGATCTCCCAAAAACATTGTCCAAGCTAAATCTATCTTAAAGTCTTTTTACCACCAATACCACAATAAGCACTCGGTGATGCAGCACAAGGATTCAGGGAACTGAGGGGGAGTTGATCTCCCAATGACATTGTCCAAGCTAAGTCTATCTTAAAGTCTTTTTACCATTCAGATAACAATGGAGGAAACAGAATAAGTTGTGAGCTGTAGTAACACTGGACTGGTCCACATTATCCCCCTTATTTTCTTACAGGAGAGGAACAGCACTGCATGTCCAGCCAGAGAAGGCACTTGCTAAGATTGCTCTTGCCAGTACACTTGGGACAGTTTGTCAGGGACCCATCCTTACAAGGCAATTCAAGAGCACATCATCACTGTGATCACAGAGACTTGACCACAGGCCTTACTCTTCAGCCAGAGAATGGAATCAGCCTGGGCCAACAAAGGCAAAAACAAGGTTAAGATCTGGCCAGTTTATATTTTTAAAAATCGTGAGAGAAAACAAAGGAGTGGGGAGTCACTGAACTCCATTTTAGTAGACTATCATTTCACTTTGCCACTGCTATGATTTGAGTAGACCAGTAACAGCCTGGCAATGCTCACCTCTTAATCACACTGTATAGACAGAAAATAGGGAGTAAATTAATCTGCTGGAAGCAAAAACTTAGCATAGAAATTACTTCATTGTTTCCATGATACCTGCTTCCATTTTGATCTTTTTCTCCTGTGTTTGTAAATACTACCAGCCATCCAGAAAGATGAAGTAGCCATATCTCTAAAAAAGCTTTTAATTTCCTGGTGCAAATGTATTTGTCTGTTTTTTGAAATTTCTTTTCTGCAGCTGAAATTAGGTGCACAGCCCTGTTTTCTTAATGTATATTGTGAATATACACATATATAATATGTGTCAGTACAAAATACCGTGGAGTTTGGCATCATAAACATGATTTCACTTGTGCTTGGCCTCATTTGAATTTACTTTATGCACCTCTTCTAAATAACAAATTAGAGAAGATCAAATTATCCTGCCTAACCTCACTCAGCTGACATGGATAACTCTGTGTCAGTGAGATGATGGTCAAGCCAAATGTCAACATCTGTCTAAAGAACAGTGTTTAAATAGCAGGGGTGATAGAAAAAGTGTCATTCCCTTCCTCAGCACAGCCAGTATTTTAACAGCTGCTCTCCAATCAGTGAGCACGGTACAGAGCTCAAGCTAATAAATGCTGCTGTGCTGCTAAATGGTTCTGTGCCTTTGACTACACCAGCAGGTAGGAGATTCCAGTAGAGCAGGTCTGTGGAGCACATGACAAAGTGCTGAGGACTCCCCATCTGCACTATAAGGGAGTTTGAATTCTGCTGCAGACTGGCTCTTGTCTGTCCTGTTGAACTGAATGCTCATTAACAGCTGGGATGCATTTGCTGCTTTCTCAGACTGAATCTTTATTTGAAAGGAATCCACTTCATGAGCTGTGGGGCTGCTCAGCAGAGAAAGCCAGAGCACAGTGAGCAAGGAACAATCAGGAAACTTGATCCAAAACGGTGGCTCAGTGGTGGCTGCCTTAGTCTTACTTTCTGACCATATGGCTGCAGACAGAACCAAGTGTGCTGTTGCCTTGAAGGCAACAGGCTGACAGGTTGTGGAAAGGATGCAAGAATGGACAGAGGAGAAGAGGAAAAGCTGTGCAATGTGCTCCAGGTAGTTGGTCACCCTCACTCTACAACATTAATTTCATTTTAGGCCTATTTGTGGCAATGGCACAACCAGATCCTGAGCAAGATATTTGCTGGTGTGTAGCATATGTAAGGCTCAGCTAAGGATCTTGTACAGGGAACTTAGGTTTGAATTTTCTGTAACCTCACCAACAGTTAAGGTAGAGTTTATAGTTTAAAATCTGGAAAAGAAGAGGGAAAAAAAATCAGCATTTCTCATAGATGCTACTTGTAACTGACAATACTCCTTTGCACATCAGAGCTGCAGGACAAAAGAAGTCCTTATCTTGTACCAAAGTGGATTTTAACAGGAATATTGTGGGGAAACTGCTGTTTAGAATGGCTGTTGATTGTCTCCACTGTGTCTGGCAGTCCTGTTTCTGTTTCCTCAGCTAGGATCTCTGCGGTATGATTTCCTGCATAAATAGCTACTTTCTAGCTGTCAAAGCTATGTGTTACTTAATTTCCAAGCTGCTGTTTAAACATAGTGGGTTACAAGGTCTACAAGGCATCTTTCTTTCTGTACCGTGAGAGGAAACCTGCACAATGAAAGTGCATTAACACCCTCATTGTTTGCCCTCTGCTCTGCCACTTGAAAGCTCTTGGCATTACAGCCCATATCTTCAGAGTTCCTAAATTTAAACCAAGGCTTGTGTGATTGTCATCAAGCTCTACCCTATCCCGATTTTATTGTCCATGTAATTTCAAAGTATTACTGAAATTAAAAGACTTTGGTAACTGCTTTTGCAGAAAGAAAAAAAAAAAAACAACCCGAAAGCAAGCAAATAAAAAACCAAACAAACAAAAAAAACCCCACCACAGGTAGTAGGCCTACCCTTCCCAATTATTTGGAGGTCGGATATGGACTGGAGCAGAGCAAATGGCAGTTGCAGCAGTTAACCTTTGTATAGTGCTCTCCAGAGCAACCTCTGCACTTTGCTACTGTCAAGTCTGGTTTTTGGCTCCCTTTTATCCTTCCTGGACTATTTCCAGTCTAGTTTTTCTTCTGAAGATTTTTATTAAAAGGATTTTCAAGAAGACAACTGATGACACAGTTTAAAAAAACACTTAAGGGAGTGGTGTCTGGTTTTATTTCTTCTAATAAATAGGTTCGTTTATGGGAAAAAAAATGTTTTATCATACTTTGCTAAGAGTTTCACATGCTACTTCCTACTGGCAGTTTACCAAGTGAGCGTGGCTGAGTGCTCTGTACATGGAGGTGGTTTCCTTTGTTTCTGAAACCCAAAGTCTGCAGAGCCTGGAAGGTGAAGGTGTAGGGGTTTTAATGGGAGTTGTTCAGTGTCTTCTGGAAGTAGATGATGATAGCATTAGTCCACTACATGTAACTAGGATATTTTTAAATCAATACAATACAGTTTCTAGGACAAACTACCCGTGGACAGAACACTGAAATACAGGAGTGCAGTGCAGGAATACCAGGCTGAATGAACAAGATCTGAGGTATCTTACAATGATAGAATCATCAAGGTTCGAAGATACCTTTAAGATTGTCAATTCCAACCTTCAACCTAGCACTACTACTAATTTGTCATTGTTGTCTGATTAGCCTTTTTTGTTGTTGTTTCTAGATTGTGACCTCTAGTGCTGCTTGAGCATTCTAGAACAAATGTGAAGTATTTTACCTGCCTATTTAAGTCTAGCATTAATGTCATAGTGTTCAGAATTGCTAGAGAAAATGTATTGGCTGATTGATGGCTGGTAAAGTCAATATTTTATGCAAAAGTCTCTGTGTTCATGAAAATTTTAACATATGTTATGGAAATAAGAATTATATCCTGACAGGAAGCCACACGGGGCAAGTCTGCTACCGTTTCTCCTTTGTGGAACAACCAGGTTACTGTTAAGCTGTGGGATACTGTAACATTCTTTTAGACAGAGGAACAGACTGGGGTGGAGACCAACAGTTTCATGGAGCAGGAGTTGGATCAAACATGTCGAGGGAGGTGATCCTGCCCCTGTACTGGGCCCTGGCGAGTACACCTGGAGCTCTCTATCCAGTTCTGGCTCCTCAGTACAAGACAGACAAGGCACGGCTGGAGAGAACAGTGGAGGCCGCAAAGATGAGGGATCTGCAGCATGTCTTATGAGGGGAGACTGTGGGAGCTGGGCCTGTTTATTCTGGGGAAGACTGAGGGGGCCTCATGAATGCATATAAACATCTCAAAGACAGATGCCAACAGGATGGTGCCAGACTCCTTCCAGTGGTGCCCACCAACAGGACAGGAGCTATGGCCAAAACTAAACCACAAAAAATTCCACTTCAACATGAGAGAACTTCTTTACCCTGAGGGAGGTAGAGCACTGGAACAGCTGCCCAGGGAAGGCGTGGAGTCCTCCTCTTTGCAGACACTCCAAACCCACCCGGGCCCGTTCGTGTGTCACCTGCTCTGGGTGACCCTGCCTTGGCGGGGGGGTTGCACTGGGCGGTCTCCACAGCTCCCTTCCAGCCTGACCACGGCTGTGGTTTCCCGAGCGATGGCGAGCAGGGAACGCGGCCGCCTCGCCCTCAGCGCCGCCTCACAGCGCGCCGCGGAAATGGCGCCCGCGGGAGGAGCGAGGAGCGGGCCCGGCCCGGCCCGGCCCGCGGGCAGCAGGGAAGGAGGGAGGGAGGGAGGATGGAGGGAGCCGGCCGCTCCTCTCTCCGCCCCCTCGCTCCTCTCCCCTCCCCCGCGCTCCTCTCTCCGCCCCAGCGCTCGGCCCTGGTGAGCCGCGCCGCCGCTTCGCAAAGCCCGTGCTCAGACCAGCTCCAGCCGCCACCGCCCGAGAGCCGCCGCAGCCCTCCCGCGTCGCCCACATGGAGGATTACCACAAACCCGACCAGCAGACGCTGCAGGCGCTGAAGGACACGGCCAACCGGCTCCGCATCAGCTCCATCAAGGCCACGACCGCGGCCGGCTCCGGGTGAGTGAGGGAGGCGGGCGTGCAGCGACCCAGCCCCGGCCGCGCACCGGAGCCGCGCTCCCGCATCCCGGGGCTGCATCCGGCCTGGGGATGGGGCTGGGAGGGGCCGTGCGGGCTCCCGCTGCCCGGAGACGCTCCGGTGCCCCGGGGGCAGAGCCCCCGGTCCCGCGGTGCGGGGGTGCCGCGGGCCCGGCCGTGCCGCCCGCGGGAGCGCTGCGGCGGCGTGCGCGGGGATGGGAGCGGGCAGGGCCGGCCCCGCCGAGCCCCGGCACCCCCGGCGCTGATGGATGCGGAGCGGCACGTGTGGAAATGGCGGCCGGGGGCTCCGCGGGCAGAGCCCGCCCGGCCGGGCCACGTCGGTCGCCGGGGCCGGCGGCTGTTGTGACTGGGAGAGAGGCCGGGAATGCTATGTTGGGGCAGGACTGAAAACCAAAGAATTTGTGCCCGAGGCGCAAGCGGCTTCTTTTTCATTGCGTGCCCGTCAGTTGGAACTAATTCTGCACAGAATTTCAAGTGAGCCCAAGTGGGATTATCTGTGCAATGCCCGCGGTCTCCAATGGGCAGTTTATTCAGGCCTCTGGACAGGATTTAGTGTGGGCTCTGATGTGTGCAGATTCCAGGGTTATCCTTTCTTTGATCGTGCTTTACCTATGGAAAAAAAAATCTCTGCAAACAATCCGCTTTTAGTCATGCAAAATTAAAGCCATTTTTTCTGCTTGAAAAATATATCAATGCTTCTATATAAAGTGCGGGGCTTTTTTTTTTTTTTTTACACATATCCTGTCTTGTTGCAATTTCCTCCTTTGGCCCTCTTTGAAGCTAGTGCAGTGTCTTAAAAAATCTGAAGGAATCCTTCGGATGCTGAGGTTTGCGTGAAGAAGGGTGATGTGCAAAATATTATAAAGCTTCTTTGAATTGCCTTACAGTCCCCACCCTGTGCCTGGCATGAGCTGCCTCACATGGCTCTCGAAGCTGAACTTTACTCGCTCCGTTTGCAGGCAGCAAATGAAAGCGCTGCTGTTGTTCTTCCCGTGAAATGGGTGTTGGACGCGGGAAACCTCTCAGCAAGTCAGAGCAGTGCTGGTTTACAAATCTCTGTTGGGTGCAGTCTGGACAGACAAGTATGGGGTACCCAGCAACTGCCCTTTTAGTTCTTGATTTGTTTCTGTAGTGTACAGTACTACACAAGTGTGTGTGAATGTGTAAATTGAAAACTGTGCTTTGTAAAGCTTGGGCTTCTGCATTCAGCTTCCAGTAAGTATTTTAAGCAGGCCACAGGGATGCATGGTATCAGTTGTCTCATCAACAGATAAAATTATTTCTCTGTTTTGTCTGATGTGCTGTTAAAGAACAAGGATCATACTACAGCCTCTGTTTCTCTTCCTCAGTCCGTGAAATTCACCAGTAAAACCATTCTCACCATACTGATGAAGAAATAGTAAAAGCAGTTTTACTCAAGCTTTTCATTCCCTGGTTCATCTGTGCTACAATACTGAGTCCTTCTAGCACAAAGGCATTTCAGTAATCCCTCTGGTTTATTCTGCCTCTGGAGTTGTGTAGTCTGAAATTATTACACAACCTGATAACAAGCAGATTATGAAAGATGGGCTCTTAAGAGAAGATTCTGTTATAAGTAATATATTTTCTTAATAAGACTTGGTTGCCAAGATGATGGTGTAGTAATGTGCCCAAAAGACATTCAGTCTGTTGTGGAGTTAGGCAAAGCATGTACATTTCCAAAGCAGCTGTGCATTATGAATGTTTTCCAAAAACTGAGACAGTGTGCTTTGCTTAAATTGCTGGTGTTCACTGAGGATGGGAAAAGATGTTTGAATGCAAGTTAAGTTTAAATAGAAGCTTACAGTTAGTTAAAAATGTGAATTGTCATAATGGCTTTGACTTTGTGAAGGAAATGCATGTTTGTTAAAGGTGTAGCTTGTAAAAACCGAAGGAAATACTTGCAATAAAAGCACTTCAGAAAAAATAGGACCTGCCTACTACTTTCAAGGAAGTAATTTCTGTGAACTGTGGCAGGTATTGCAACACAAATGGTGGTGTGGTAGATATGTCACACCAGTTCTTGCAGTCTTCTTTTACCTTCTGTTAAAGAAAGTACTGTCTTTGCCTGGACAAGACCTAACTCAGTCTGATCCTGAAGTTGCTCAAACACATCACTTTGAGTATTTCATCAGCTGGAGTGGAAAAATTCAGTGAACTGGAAAAAAAAAATTTGTGTTCAAAATTACTTACGTGGGCAAAAAATTTGATTAGGTTAGTTATAAAGATTGAACATACTTGCTTTGGGGTGTGGAAGAGCTTTTTCTTTTGGATAAGTAGTGCACACATTCCCGTTGAAATGGGTAGAGTCTCTGCTATAGAAGATAATAAATTTCTCTAGTTTTGAAACAGTGTCTTTGCTTCCTAGGGCAGGATGGATACATTCTTAAAAGTGGAAGTTGCAAGAGTTTCTTAAGAGGCAGTTATGTTTCATAAGATGTGATGTGACCACTTGTTGCAGATAAATTTTTTTCAGTTTTTTTGGTTTTGACTCAGTGTTCCATTTTAGTTTTCCACTGCTATCCTTTGAAATGTGTGGACACATGAAGATGGAGCAAATATCAATTGATGCACAATAATAAAAAACCCCTACAAAACTAACTTGGAGCAATCATTTTACCCTTGTTTTGTGTGGATCCAGGATTTTGGTGTTCTAGTGTAGTTTGGGTTGGTCTCCTACTGAAGGACTGTATTTCAAAGTTAGGGTTTTTTTGTTATTTCTGATAGTAGAAATTCATTTAATTAACCTGTAGCTTTAACAAGATGTTTTTCCAATTTTCAGGTAATTCATTAAATGTTTCTACTTTTTTTTATTTCCACATGCTACCATTTTAGGTGGTTTAAAACTTTTTTAATCAAGACCAGGAGTTCATAGAAGTATGGTTAAGTATAAAGTTAATAAAATTAAAGGAATGAAAGCTTTAAACAAGCATGTAAGGCTTATTGATTAACTCAAATACATAAATATTTACTAATATGTTTGAACCATGGTTTAAAGCTAATTCTCTTGGTTCCCTGTGTGTGAGTACTTACTAAGGGATGGACACTAACCACAATTTGTATTCTGCTAGTGTTTTGCATGTTTTTATTCTCTTATTACAGTTGTGTTGGGGATGTTGGGTGGGAAGGTTTATTACTATCAAAAGAAAATATTCTGATTAAGGTTCTAGTGAAAGTGTTGTCTAATCCTAACATGCATGGTAAATATACATGTAGGAAACAAAAGTGACACTTTCATAGTCAGTTTGTCCTGTTTTACAAGTAGGATCAAATATTTGAAGAATAGCCTGCTAAAGATGAAAAGTAAATGTTGGCAGAAGAGAAAGTGAGAAGAAACTGCTTTTTCAACCTCCTCACTACTCATCATCCACTTTCCTGTACTTCAGTAGCAATGGCTGATGTCAAGAATTATGTTTACATCAGTAAAATCTGAAAAATGCTATTTTCCATACTCAATAAAGATTTTTAAAGAGTCTCCTTACCCTTTTAAGCTTTATGGAAAGTGAAAAGCCAAGGCTGGTACTCCCAAGTGGTCAAGTTGTGCCACCCATTCCAGGTGCATAAGAATTACAGTGATTATTATGTAAATTACAGTAATCTAGATCAATAAAAGTAATTCTGTGCCCTTCTATTGCACTTTGAATGAAATATATACCTTGTCATGGAATAACTCCAATTTGCTACTTGCATAACCTCTTCACCTAACTTTATATTCACTTGGTATTTTATGGCACAGTTGCCTGTGAAATGGGCAAGTTACAGTTGAGTATGAATTCATGCTGCTGTTATCCCAGACAATTCAATGGGAGAGACTGTACCAGACACTTGAAAATGTTTGATAAGCCAACTCACACAAGATTTCAAACTTATAAAGATGTAAATGTAGAAAATTATAGTTCCCCTCTTAGCCAAAGATTAAGCAATTCAGTATTTTACAACATGTATCTGGGTGTTTACTGGAGACAGTAAATTTCCATATCCAGTTTCAGTAGAAGATGAAAACAAGAATTGCTTTGTTTAATGTCCTCTTTAGAAATCAGAATTCTTACTCTGTCAGCTCTAATGTGGTACAATGAAATGGTTCCTAAGTTATACTATTATAAATGTTCCAGAACTCTCTGCAGAAGTTAATCTTGCATTACCAATCCCTGCATGTGCATCAGAGCCTGAACAACTCCTGATGCCATGCTTTTAATTTCACCACTCAGCGAGTGGCTCTAATTCTGTGGAAAGCTGTCCTTGTTTCCTCTGCATTGGTGTGAATTTCTGCCACCAGAAAATCAGTGGACTCTGATTTCAGGCTCAGGCTGACACAACCTGTGTCTGACTGTCCTGTGCTTCAGCCACCCCTTCAGGTGGTGGTCCTTGGCATGGAGAAGAAGGGAGACTTCTAAGAAACAAGTCCTTGAGCTGTCAGCAGGGTCTTGATTGAACATCCATATCAACCAGATCAGAGGCTCCCTTTGTGTCAAAGTATTTGATTGGCACTGGGGGAACAGCACAGGGGTGGGATATCAAACACTTCAGATTTGTGTATTTTAATGCTGAGGAGTTGGGGTCTGATGAAGTGGTATTTTAAAGATGCAATCCTGAGCAAACAATAACACAAATGGTAATTTTGGCTCTTCTTGACTTGTAGCCACCCTACATCATGTTGCAGTGCAGCAGAGATTATGTCTGTGCTGTTTTTCCATACCATGAGGTACAAAGTGCAAGACCCCAGAAACGCCAGCAACGACCGGTTTGTTCTTTCAAAGGTAAATAAATAATTACTGGTTTGCTGTCCCCTTACAGTCTGCTAGCAAAGAGCTGTCAGTCTGTAGATTTAATTGACTTGTGTTTACATACACTTACATCTGCAGAGAAGTCTGTTAGAAATATTTGAGAGCCTGGAATTTGTCTGCTTCAGAAAGAAAGAAGCTGGCTAAATTAAGTTGCAGCATAACTTAAAAAACAGTTTTAAAAGGGTCTTTGTAATGAGTCCTGATAAGTCTTAACTCCACTATGTTAAGTTGTTGTAATGTTAAATAATAAATATTTTCTATACAATCTATCAAGATGCAGTTGGCTTTTGTGCTCTTGTTAAATGCAGCCCTGCTGTTCTGCCTGCAGCCATGTCACAGTGGGCACTAATTCCTGCCAGCTTCTCAGGGAGCATTACATGAAACAGGGCAGGTTAGTGAGTATTTTGTAGTTTGCATTGCTACTGTGCCAGTATGGTACTAAAGTCACTGTTAAATCTGAAGCCACTGTGGGTCAGAAAACACTTAAACCCCAGTCTGTGCTGGCTGTTAGTGTTTCTGTCCCCTTTCACATCATGTCCTTGCAAATCATGGGGATATATTGTTCATATGACATAAAGGCAGGTATGGGGCCTTCAGAAAATGTAAAACATGGCAAATGAGGTAAAACATGGCAGGTGAAGTGCTCCAGTGATGCACATTCCATCTTTGAGTCAGAATTCCTCAAGTGGTGGCTTGCAGTAGTGCTGTGGAGCCCATGGTGAATGTCCTTGTGCTGGATGTAACTGTTGCCATTTCTGGTGGCCACTCTGAAAGAAGGAATTGAGTGAGAAGCAAGCAGTCAATGCTGAGGTGGTGAAGCACTGAGAGTCACTTCCTCGTGTTTACTTTAGCTCTCTAATTAATCAGTGTTTCTGTCCAGAGTAGCTAAATGGCTTCAAACCTCTGCATGCTCTTTTGACTCCTGATGACTCCAGGAGTGGAAGATGACTGCTCCACAAAGGTCTGAGTGTACAAAGCTTAAAACCTTGTCTGTTGTCACTCACTGCATTCAACCCTGAGTACATTCATATTGAAGGAAGCTCTAGTGAGATAACACTGCTCATCCTGCTGGGGTGCTGTAAGCAGGGGCGTGGGGAACTTGGAAACAAGCATCAGTGTGGATGTGTGCATTGTAAAACTGTTTAATAACTCCATGTCTTCTTGATGGGCACAAGAACCTGATTTCAGTGTCTCTCAGCTTTGTAGAGTTTGTCCTGATAGTTGGGAATGTGAAACTTGTGTTTTGTTTACAATTTCTGTTTCTCTCTAGGGTCACGCAGCACCAATTTTATATTCTGTTTGGGCAGAGGCTGGCTTTCTACAAGAAGGAGAATTACTGAACTTGAGGAAAATTGATTCTGTCCTAGAAGGACACCCAGTGCCAGTGAGTGCTCATAATCTTTGATACGAAAGGATGTTTCTGTGAAACAAGTGTATGTATTTCACAGCAATTTTGGTTGCCAGCTGTTCAGTACAAGAAAGATAAAGACTTTTAAGGATGATGGCATTTATGGCTTCACAATTGAATTTGAACTGTATTTGAATGAGCATGTAGAAATTACCTTTATTGTTGTAGTAAAGTTCCCCTACAGCCCTGCATGACAGTATTTTCCATTTCATAAATGTTTAGTTAAAGTTCCATCCAAGCTTCAGTTGCCCTTTAAGCAGCTTTGAGGTATTTCAAGAGTTTACACCCAGTTTGGCCACCTTATTGGTCTTTCCATTCCCAGCCAGTTGTTTCAATTGATTCTTTTTTACACAAAATCATCAATTCTTAACTGTTGCCATCCGAAGCATAGCTGAGAAATTCCCTTCCCTCTGAGAGGGCCCAGTTAGCTTGTGACAGTCATCATGAAAGAAATCTGCATTGCAGGGAAATAAGGGGTTCAAGATTTAGAGGGACTTGCACATTGTTATGGCTGAGAAGCTGCATTTTATATGTTGAACCATCTTCTAGCACTGGAAATTTGATAACTATAAAATAATTGTTGCCTTTTTATTCTCAGAGACAAGCCTTCACTGATGTGGCTACTGGATCCCTTGGGCAGGGTCTTGGTGCTGCTTGTGGAATGGCATACACTGGCAAATTCTTTGACAGAGCCAGGTAATTCCATTTTCATACTTCATGGTTACAGGCATTCAATGGGAAAATTTTGTTAAATTGGATGGATAGATAAATTCATTCTCCTTTATTCAATCCCAAGTCTGATTTCAAATTCAGGTTTTAAAGGATAGATAGTTACAAAGCTGTTGCCAGTGAAACTACCAAAGGTTTAAAGATTAGCAACAATTAGTGCATATGTGTGTTTCTTTTGTAACCTGACAGCATTGCAAGCTGATGTTCCTGAACAGAGAAGACAGGGAGTTGTTGGAGGAGCCTCTAACTTCCAGAGAGTAACTGATATCCATTTTGAGACTGGATTGTCCCTTTAGAAGGAAAGTGCAAGCTGGAGAGGTCTGTTCAAAGTCAGATGACAAATAATGGAGAACGTTGGATAAGGAACCATTATGGTCAATAATAGCACAATTGAATCATAAAGTAGGGCTCCAAAATGTTATCAGAAAGGCACTCAGCTCCACAGAGACAAAAATGACTGCTCCTGCCATTGGTTCTGTGCACAAGAAAAGATGTCTAAAGGCAAATCTGTATGTGGAGCAAAATAGCCTGATGTGGTTGATATATTTTATTTGACAGTTCTAGTACATCCAAACATAGGCTGCCCAGTTAATGTGTCCTACACTTCACTAGCTTGAAATCATTTCTGTGAAAGATGACTTGCTGATTTTAATTGAGTTTAGCAGATGCTACGTGTGGAAAAAATCTAACTAGTGCTTACATGACAAAAGGAAAAGGTGGTCTTGCGTGCAGCACTGGGGAGCAGCTTAAGTGCAAGGAGTTCACATTTAGCTGAAGGCAGGTAGGAATCAGATTCAAAAGTCTCTTATAGCTTCATGTTGACTAAAAAAAATCACTGACAGCCATCTCAATTATTTTGTTTTAAAATTATATATTTGAAGAATAATTTACTTTTTTTTTTTTTTCATTTTAGTAGGTAATAAACATTTACAAAGTTTTGTTGTCCAGAAGAAGAGTGGTAGTAAAAGACAAATGCTGTGGCTGAATTTGGCAGAGATGAGGCAGTACTCCTGCTAACTGAGTTTTACCTAAATAAAGGGCTTCAGTAGCTGGAGAAATAGTCTACAAAGTCATATAATGTTGGTTATCTTTTTACTGAACTCTGAATTTGTTATGCGGTGTGCTTTAATCCATAGCTGAGTTCATCCACAATTTAGAGTTTCCTGACATTAATTCCTGTTGTTGTCCTTGCAGAGGGTATATGGGAGGAAGGAGGAAGCAGAGGTAACTGTCCCTGCATTGTTCAGGATCTTGCTGAGTCACAGTGACAGTGTTCAATGGGCTTGTTCAGTCAAGCCTTGCAGTGGGAGGCTTAAGACTTGATTTTTTTGAGACAAAGGTTTGGAAAGGAGTGCAGTATTTCTCATCTTATTTTTCTAACGTGCAACGGCTCATAACTATTTTAATTTGATTTGTCTAAGGTTACGTAACTTTAGCTGAGGTGAATGCATTGAACAATGGGAAGTGAGTTTGGGATAGAAAAATGAAGTGAATTCTTATTATGAATTATTGGAGGAGTTTTGATTTAATAGTGCTTACACATCAAACCTAATTTATTTTCATTTTTAATTTCTTCTAGCTATCGAGTGTACTGTCTGCTTGGAGATGGAGAGTTATCTGAAGGCTCTGTTTGGGAGGCAATGGCCTTTGCTGGCTTTTACAAGCTTGATAATCTTGTTGCTATATTTGATATTAATCGTCTTGGACAAAGTGACCCTGCTCCTCTGCAGCATCACGTTGAAATCTACCAGAAACGCTGCGAGGCCTTTGGGTATGTGAGTGGGAGAAGCTCAGGATAATCTCTCATTTGAAAATGTATGTTCTATTTGCTTCTCAGACTTGTTCAAAGGAGCTTTCAGCTCTAAATGATTCCATCAGCAAGGAAGATGGTCTTTCATAATGCCTGATATTGGTCAACTTTATGGCTGCAGCAGGAATATTGAAAGTTTTTCAATAATTTGTTGGCAAAATTTGTTGGTTTTGAGGAAAAATAAGGGCTGCTTGCACAGATAAATCTGTTAGGGGTCTTAAAACTGTTTTTAACACATCAAATTCAGACTTTGTAACTGTGACCACATGTCCTATTATAGCAAGTGGATCAGAAAAAAACAGCATGGAAAGTTAGAGGATTCTTTGTGTGTTGGCTTTCATTTAGTTTCATATTTCTGTGCAGATGCAAAGTCCATGCTAAAAAAATGTCAGATACAATAGAAACCAAATTATGCCTGAGTGTTTTGGGGTTTTTTAATCAACGTCTATTGTCAGTTTTCATCTCATTTCTAGATGTTTGATTTGCTCTTGTGGTTAAAAATGGCCATTATGTTTGAAGAAATGTAGGATAACTTAGTTATCTGTGAATTTTGCTCATAGTTGTTGATTCCCCTGTGACTCATTTTGCATTATAAAAAAGCAGCTGTGCTATTTTTTATGGTCTCAAATAAATGCTAGTTCGTGTTTCTGGTATACTTTGGATCTCTTAAAAAGACACTGCACTGGAATGAAGTTAGTATTTGTTATTGTTATTGCTGACTACCAGAGAGTGTCACATGCTAAAACCCTTTAGAAACAGTTGATCTGTTTGTGTTCTTAGCTGGCATGCCATCATCGTGGATGGACACAGTGTGGAGGAGCTTTGCAAAGCCTTTGGCCAGGCCAAACATCAGCCAACAGCCATCATTGCAAAGACTTTTAAAGGCAGAGGCATATCAGGTAATAAAACAATTCTTGCTTTGCATACACACATAAATAGGATGTACACCTAGTGCTGCAGTGCAGGTACTTGCACATCTGAGCAACAGCATGCAGAAGGTCTTTGACCCTCTGCACCTCTCAGCAACATTATTGCTGAGAATTTGGTTTGGTCCTGTCAAGTGAGATGTGTGCCAGCTATGCAGTGTTCTGTCCATGGGATGGAGCAAATGCACACTCAGTGTGTCAAGGGTTGCCATGATTCCCTTTAGCCACAGCTTTTAGCAGCACTCTGAGCTTGCCTTTCTGACCAGATAAATATTAATAACAGCAGTGAATATCTTCATTCCTTTTCATTGAGTAAGCAAGCAAAGGTCATTATTTGCAGTGACTGAAGGAAAAGCAGTATATCAGGCAGAGAGGTGACTTGGCTGTTAGTGCTAGGTGCACAGATAAGAGTCATCAGAAGCTATTAAAATAAAGCTGTAAAATATCAGATCTTGTTTGAATTGGACACCTTGGTTAACTGTTGTTTCAAACTTATCTGAGTTTGTTTAAATAGAACTGTTGAAATTTCATGGGAAATATTCACATTGATTTACTGGTTGCTTCCTGCCACACTTGGAACCACACACTGTCTGTTATGGGCAAATTTACAAATAATTTCAGTAGAAGGTGCTGGGATTTTGTCACAAGTTTGGAATATATGTAATTTGATTATGTAAAATTCCTCCTATTTGTTTAAATATGTTTGTCTTAACGCAGTTGAATACTACTGTAATTGTTCAAGGAATTTCTTCCTTGGAAGAAAATACTGGACTGTCATACTCCACTGCACTTTCATCTGGGTAAAATCTGAAGATAAAAACCTAAATTGTTTTTATACTTTTCTTACTTGTAATGTGACTTTAAATACACAGGTGTTGAAGATAAGGAAAGCTGGCATGGAAAGCCCCTTCCAAAAAATATGGCTGAACAGGTCATTCAGGAAATAGATGACAGAATCCAGAACAAGAAAAAGCTTTCTCCAGCCCTTCCAGAAGAAGATGCACCTATAGTAAATATTAGAAACATTAAGATGCCATCTCCACCAACTTACAAAGTGGGAGAAAAGGTATCCCCTTCTTTTTCACTGATGGTCAGACATTTCAAAGTGTGAGACTGTTTAACAGGATGGCAGGAGTTTTTGTGTTATGCCTTGCTCCATTTGCAACTACCCACCTCTTCTCAGTAGGCAGACACCTATTTCTGTGGTGTGACACAGTCAACTTGCTGGGTATCGAAAGGGTATATAAATATATTAAAATATGGAGATTCAAATCACCCTTCTTCATTTCATGATCATTATCAATTTTCTAAACTACTTTATGTGCCTTTGAAATTGAAGAAACTCCTTGAGGTTCAGTGAATTTCCAGGATTGGAAAAGCAAGGCTTTAAACATTTCCTAGCCAGATTGGTGGGGAGTTGCCAATTTCAGCAACGATGCATTTTCTAATGCTTCGTTATGGGTTTGTTTGCTCTTCTGTGTGTCACCATTCTCCTATGTACTTTTGATACTGCTATCTTTTGAAAGCAATAAAACAGGAACAAAAAAAAGCCTCTAGAAAGCAGCAAGTTACAGCAGCCCTGGTGTGTTTTCCTTTTGCAGTGGGCCACCCGCAAGGCTTACGGGGTTGCGCTTGCAAAGCTGGGCCACGCCAACGATCGAGTGGTTGCTCTGGATGGCGACACAAAGAACTCCACCTTCTCAGAGCTCTTCAAGAAGGAACATCCCAGTCGCTACATCGAGTGCTACATTGCTGAGCAGAACATGGTAACTGCTCCCTTGGGTTTATTGAAAGATTAGTATGATCCTTCAGTGTGAGTGCCCTTACTGAGTCCCCTTACAGTGGACGTCTAATACTTGTTTTTCATATAAATGTGTGGTAACTGTAGCAAAAACCAATTTGGCAACCTTGTTCTAATTTCCATTTTGCTAAAGAAGGGTCTTTTAACAAATAACCCGTCCAAATAACACAGGTAAATCCATTCCCTCTTACTAATGATGATTTTTGTCTTCTGGAGATAGCAAGACCATGTCCATTGGACTGAGAACATAAGCCTTTGAACCAGGAGAAGAAAGAGAGGGATAAGTCTTAAAAATCTTTGAATGGCTGCTTTAAGCAGATAAAGAAAAGAAGCTGCCAGTAAGAGTCAACAATGACAGCTAGCAGTTGAAGCATGGAGCAGAGGAGATGCAGGAGAATAGATACTGGGAGGGTGAGTTGCCTCCTTTCCTTTCTGGAAATGCCAGCAATTAGAAAACAGGACTAAACAAAGATTTTTAGTCTGCGCTGAGAGCTTCTTGCTAAATTTTTAGGGCAAGAAGTCCCACAGATGATGTCCTGGAAACCACTGATAAATGAGGAATTCACTGTTCTTATCCAATGTCCCTCTTTCAGGTGAGCATTGCAGTTGGTTGTGCCACTCGTGACAGGACCGTTGCTTTTGCCAGCACCTTTGCCACCTTCTTCTCGCGGGCGTTCGACCAGATCCGCATGGCTGCCATCTCCGACAGCAACATCAACCTCTGCGGCTCCCACTGCGGCGTCTCCATCGGTAAGGGCACCCGCGGCGTCCCAGCAGCACTCCCCATCCTCTCAGAGAGGGGTGTCTGGCAGCCACATGGATCCTGCTCTGTGGAGGCAAGCTGTGCTGTAGCTGGGCTGGTGTAACAGTGGCAGCAGTCATATTTGCAAGTCCACTTCTGTTGGGTTTAGAAAGAATGAGAAAAATTTCAAGCTGTCATCGGCTTGTTTTTCCTCTTTGGCCTGATGAAAATAGGACTTTTCCCTACAAGCTTTCCTACTGTACAAGTAAAGACTGATATAAAGGGATTGGACTGAAACTGAGAGGTTCGGGTTCCATTTCATCTTTGCAGTTGATGAAAAAAGAGAGAATATTCTCTCTGTGGAGAGAATAATCATGTGCTTACTGTGCTGTTTCCCATTCTCTTAAATGAGAAACTAATGATACTCTTCTTGCACAGATGCTTTTGTCCATCAATCTCAAAAACACTTTAGAGAACACACATTTGAAATAACTACTTCAACTTATCCCAGTATTTTTCACTACTGAAATTGTTAATATGGTCATTAAAAAAATCCAAAATCTCTTACATACAAATGAAACAGGAACTGTGAAGCTCTAACATAATTCAGAAAATGAATAATAGAAAGTTTTGGTTGGAAAGATCTTAAAGGTCATCTCTTTCCAACATCTGCCAGTAGACCAGGTTGCTCAAAGTGAGGCAGGACTTACCCTTGGCTGTCTTGAATCACCTCCTCTTCCCCATGTGCCTTAGTACAGCTTCTGGGAGGATCTGTTCCAGGATCTTCCCAGGCATAGAGTGATAGTTGGTAGTTCCCAGCATTCTCTCTTTTCCCCTTTTTAAAACTGGGTGCAGTGTTTCCCTTTTTCCAGCCAGTGGGGACTCCACCTGGTGCTGCTGTGACTTTTCATGGGGAGTGTCTTGGCAGCTTCCTCAGCCAATTCCCTCAGGACTCTGGGATGCATCTGGTCAGCTCCCATGGACTCTTGTGTGTTGGAGTTCCTCAGGAGGTCACGAGCCTGATCTATTGGGCTTTAATCTCAGCTGGACACCAAGTGCCACCCAGCCACTCACACACTCCCTGTCCCTGCAATGGGATTGGGAGGAGAATCAGAAAAAAACTTGTAAATTAACTACTACTAATAATAATACTTGTAATTATAAATATAAACTCAAAAAAACAAGCACAATACAATTTCTCAACACCCACTGACCAATGCCCAGCCTGTCCCTGAGCTGTGCTCAGCCCCTTCCAGCCAACCTCCCCCCAGGTTTGTATGCTGAGCATGGCATTCTGTGGTATGGAATGTCCTTGTGGCCAGCTTGGGCCAGCTGTCTGGGCCATGGTCCCTCCCAGCTTTTTGTCCATCTCCTCACTGGCAGAGGACGAGGACACTGAAACATCCTTGATTTAGGATAACACCACAAAGCAACAACCAAAACATTGGTGTGTTATCAACAGCATTCTCATCCTAAATCCAAAACACTCCACTGTACCAGCTAAGAAAAAAAATGAACTATCCCAGCCAAACCCAGGATGTCTTACAGCAGAAGGGACTTTGCTTGTCCAGGCCCTGTCCTGCAGTCCATCCACCTGAGAGGTGTGGGAAAAGGGTTTGCAGTGGAGACCAAGGCAGCAGAGCCAGCACATCCCGGTCCAGCTGGCTGAGGGCCCTCAGCAGCAGAGCATTCTCTGGTCTTGCCTCCCCACTGTAACTGTTTGGAACACATCAGTCATAGTGGGTTGGCTTTGGTTTGAAGGAGGAAGAGGATTTTATTTTTTACATGACCCATGAAAACAGGAACAGACTTGCATACCAAGAAGAAAAATGCAAGTAGACATTCATGCTTGAAAAACTAGTAGGTATTTTTAGGGAAAGTGAAAGAGAGAGAGAGAGCTGACAGGGGTAGTAAATTGAGGTTCACTGCATACATCAGTTTTTCAGTTGATTTAATGTTTTGGATTTTTTTTCATTTAAAACAAAATAGTTAATTTGTATCAGATTATGGCCTTTGTGTGTAATTAAGGAGAAATTCTATTACAAGCCTCTTATTAAAATCAGTCCTTCCACCTTCAGACTTTTAGCAAGCACGGTGTTGATGTAAAAGCTGATTTAGGAAGATAAATCTCTTTTGGGTTACCCGAATTGTCTCCTAGAACTACACTTCCAAGTTTCAATTTTCAGCACATGAAATGTTCTGCTGGGAGCTGTGACTGTGAAGTGCAGACTTGGATTTATAAAGTTGTTTGAGGTACAAATCTCATTCAAGCCTCAACTTGATTTTCCATAAAGAATTTCAACCCAAAGTTTTGCAACTTTATATAAAGAGTTATAAAGAAAGTTATTCATAGAAATCCTTAAGCAGTTAAAAAATTCAATTTTAAATGAAAGGGTATGAAGCATACTTATATAAAGAGTTATAAAGAAAGTTATTCATAGAAATCCTTAAGCAGTTAAAAAATTCAATTTTAAATGAAAGGGTATGAATGAAGCAAACTTCCTGTTAGAACTTTGGGCCTGCATGGGGATCCAAATCTGCATGGAATTCGATCCAATCTGGATCTGTGGTGAAAATTGAAGTTTCATGTATGCAGTTCTAGGCAGACCTGGACTTCTGCTGCACTGAAATTTGAACCACCAAATTTATGAGAAATAGCTATCACAATGACCTTCTGGACTTGTACAAGTTCACTCCTAGACCAATAGGTGCTGATGGACCAAAACATTAAATAAGTTTTAAGGTCATAAAGAATAACAGAAAAATCTGTATTTTTCAAACTGAACATATAGGAAAAAAATTGTAGTGTACACGTGTCAGGAATAGAAATATCAATTGTTTAGACTGTTTTATATCCAGGACATATTAAGTATTTACTTATTTTATTAAGCTATCAATGTAGGTTTTGCAGATGTAATTGAGAATTATACTCTTATTTGATCTGTGATATTCCAAAACCATATAAACTGAGATTTTCATAAAGAGTTGGGGCCAGACTCAACTTAGTGCTAGTTTGTAAGTTACTTTAAATTGAATTGAGGAGCTTTGAATGTTGGTGGTATTGGCACCACCATAGCAAAAGCAGGACAAACATGAGTAACTCTCTACCTTTGATAAGATTCAGGATATTAAAATTATCACCTGATAATTTTATTCTTCATAATTTCATTTTCCTTCTATGCCTTCATTGTGTGAGTGCATTTTAGGAAAAGAAAATGCCCACTGGATCCCTCTCATTCAGAGCACACACATTTAGAAACTGCAATGTTGAGAGGGTTTCTTCATGTCATGAGAGGCGAGAGACTTCCTTTTCCTGGTCTGTGCTTACTTTATTAGTAATGTGCAGTGGCAGAGTTCAATGATTGATCTCTTTAACATGTTTAAAGTTCTTCAGAATTTTGTGCTGCTCTTAGGAAAATATTCTCCTCCTTCCTCGTGAACTCGTCCTTCTTGAATAACAGGTAGCGGGTGCATGTGGGAAGGCTCCTAGCCCTGCTGCTGCAGGCTGTGACATGAGTGGCTCCAGAGCTGTGTGCATGGCTGCTTTGGAGCAGTGCCATTCCCAAAGCTCCGTTACATAACGTCACTGGGGTGGGGGTGTTGTGGTGGTTGTTGCTTTAACCATGGAAAATCCTGGCACCCAGCACGTGTCCTTTTCATAGATCTGCGGTTTGTGCCATGAGGCGCTTGAGTTGTTCAATTAACAACACAGATGCCCTATTGCTCCTTAAAAGACTGTTTTCCAGCATTAAAAAATACATACATACCCTTCATTTAATCTTGAAATCAGCCTAAGAATTTGAGAGTAGTTGTACCAATTGCACTCTCCATTTCTGATGGGACACATGCAATTCTCCTTTCACATTTCCAGCAGTTTAAATCTGGAGGAACATTTATTGACAAGTATAAATTTTTTCTCAGCACATGTAAATCCAAAAATGTTCAGATATCTTGTGAGCCTCTTTCTGTATCTGTGCCCTTCCTATTTGGTTGTATTCCTTTTGTGTTGTTTTATTGTTATACTTTATTTCCTATTTTTTCTTTTTAATCCCAGTTCTCTTTCTTTTTAGTCTCTTTCTATCCTTATTTACTGTTTAGATGGTTCCAAGTTTAAGGAGAAGATGATTCTTTTCTCAAGCAGGTAGACTTGCATGTCGTGTGTATGCCTGATTTTATCCTTTTCTCCTTTTTTGCCTGGTTTATGTTGAACCTCACTTCTGTATTGAGTGATTGTCAAAAATGTGCACTTGCTCTTTTGTAACCTTTCTTTAATTCTTTCAGGTGAGGATGGGCCATCTCAGATGGGGCTGGAGGATCTGTGCATGTTCCGGGCTATTCCCAACTCCACTGTGTTTTACCCCAGTGATGCTGTAGCCACTGAAAAAGCAGTGGAAATAGCTGCCAACACCAAGGTTTGCATCATAGTATTTCTGAGCCACAGAATAAGTCTGTCTTTTGTACTACTCTTGTTGCTTCTGGCATGTTTCTTGCATGTCTCTACCCACGTAAATTCTTCCCGAGGCTCCAGTGGGGCAGTGGGATGTTTTCTTTTCAAGGAAAGGTTGCAGACATTCTGTCCAGGCTAGTGCAGAATGAACAATCTTGAATGCTGTGGGCCAGATTTGGGGAGATGTAAATGCTTACACAAGTGCAGAATCTATATTGAATTAAAGTGTAGGTCTTCAGCAAACCTAAAAGTGCTCTCCTTATCTCTGGGGTCAAACTTGAAGCTGGATACAGAAAGATAAATCTCTGTATTGAGGATTTTGATCATCTCCTTGATCAGTATTTTCCTTGGCTGCCATACCAGTTTTGCTTGAGAAAGGAGCAAATGATCTGAAAAAATTCAATCTTACTACTACAGGTTTTCAGTGAAGGAATGTGGAAATTTGGTGTGCAACAAATATGATGAGTGGTTTGTGGAAAAAAAAAAGATGGGCGATGGGGAAAGGAGTGGGAAGAAGAGATTAAAGTACAAGTTTGCTACTTCTTCTGGAAAGGCATCTCAACTTTAACTGATGGAAAGCCTTATTCCTTGCTTCCAGCCCAGCATTCTTCTCTAACTTAAAACTGACAGACTAAAAGTTGCACATGTATGGTAAGGTTCTAAGAGTCTAATTAACTCAAGTAGGATTCTCCATTTGCACAAGAGAACAAAAGAGAGATAAGTATCTTGGAATGAGAGAGGAAATTGTAAGTTATCAGTGTGCTTTAAGAGGAGGTGAAGTGTTTTGTACTGTTTGAAGCAGCCAGCTGCCACAAAGGACTAATGGGAATTGGTGGGGCAGAGTTTACTTATAGGAACCAGAGGCAACATAGGAGAGTGAATATCAGACAAATAGAAGAAGTCATCTTGCTGTATTTTTTTATAGGATTTATCAACTAGAAAGTCAACACTTTTCTGTTTTCCTAACTTCTAACATGTTCACCTTGGAAACAGGGCATTTGTTTCATCAGAACCAGTCGTCCTGAAAACCCTGTCATTTACAACAACAATGAGGACTTCCATATTGGACAGGCAAAGGTAAATACTGCACAGATAAACAGAATCAGAAAAATATGCAGTGTTCCTTTTGTAAAAGCCCTTTTCCCTCTAAAGTGTTGCAAAGATTTGATCTTTTCATTAAAATCTCTAGAAATGTAAAAAAGCCAGTAAGATTAAGTGTTAAAAACACATGGACATGTTTTCTTGCAGGTGGTTTTGAAGAGTAAGGATGACCAAGTGACTGTGATTGGAGCAGGAGTCACTCTGCACGAAGCACTGGCTGCAGCAGAGCAGCTGAGAAAAGGTGGGGCTTTTTTCCTTTTTGTCATGTAACACAGAAAAAAATCAATACCAGTCAGTCTAGCTGCTCACCCTTTGTACTGGTAAACATGAATGACACTGTTCAGACAGCTAGTCAGGCACCTGTTAGCTGAAACAGTACAACACAGCATGCAGCTGCCAGTCTTGCCTAATGGAGGAGGTTTAGTTGGCTTAGCAGCATTAGTAGCCATGAAAATTGACAACAGATCACATCAGGGTCTCCTTAGAATTGCTGATCTGTGGTAGTGCCCTGTGGGCAGAGACTTGGGGACACTGTGTGAGAAGCAGGAGTGGCACCTGGCCTGGTACAGTACAATGGGATGGAAACAGGCTGGGACCAGGTCCCAAACCACAGCTTGTAACCTGTGTGTGCCCATGGCACCTGGCCATGGGTTGGGCTCACTGCTGACCTGGGTTCCTTTGGATGCAGCAACTCTGAACCAGTGTGGGAGGGGCACAAATCTATGGCAGTGCTCAAGTCACTGACATCTCACAGCAGTGGTAACCCTTCAATGAAACAAGAGAAAAATACCATCAAAAACCCAGCTGTGAGTCAGGAGCCTCTCCCCAGGAAGAGATTACAAATAGCAGGAGATAATACAGTGATGCTGCCTGTGGCTTTTGGGCAGCTTTGTGTGCAGCCTCTGGGTGCACTGGTACTTTGTCATGGCCTCGAGTCACCAGGCTTAGGACATTATGAAAGTTGTATTTTCAGAACCATTTTTATTTTTCTACACTTAACGTGCTTTACAATGCTCTGCTGATCTTGAAGTCTATGTAATCACCTCTGAAAAGATAATCCCACAGTGCAGAGGCAGGGTCTAATACCCAAAATGTATTGGCCACTAAAGAGCCTTCAGTCACAAAATGACAATAGGGCCTCTTCATGTGTAGGAGTCAGCCCAGTGTTCAGCCAGCCAGGATCAGAGACACCCTCACATAATTGCTATTCTTTATAAACAATTGCCATTTGTGTGCAGCTCTAATGAGCCATTGGGCCTGCCTTATGAGGGCAGGGCAGATCTGGGTTTGGTGCCAACCATCCTTAAGGGTGCCCTGGTAGGGCTGGGCAGCTCAGATAGGCACACCTGAGAGGTGGCAGCCTGAAGTGGAGAAAGAATTCAGAATGCCTACACACCAAAGAATTGGGTGGAAATTGCACTTGGCTTGACAATAAAGGTAAAATAAAGGTCTGGGAAAAAAAATACAATTGACAGCCTGAGTAAGGAGGATTTCTCTGGTGACTGGATTCTCTCTTACCTGTGGAAAGCCAGTTAGATTACTTTTTTACTGATGGGTGCTCCTGGTCACCTTGAATCCCTCATCCAAGCCTCCTCCACCATGTCTGTGAATAAATGGATATCACTATTCCACAAGGTGCATGGAGAAAGAATACATGTAGAAATTAGGGCTGGCTGGGTTCTGTGCTAGATGAGCCATAGGTACAGGTACCTGGGAGCTCATGTGGGCAGTTCTCATAATGGTCTAGGAGATCACAGCCATTGCCTGTACCGCTGGCATTGTCTTGCATGTTGCAATTCATTGTTACAAATAATTTTCATTTATTTATGCAGAGAAGATCTACATCCGTGTGATTGATCCCTTCACTATAAAGCCCCTGGATAAGAAGACAATACTTGAAAGCGCAAGAGCAACCAAGGGCAGAATCATCACTGTTGAGGACCATTACCATGAAGGTGAGGAGGGACTGGGAGGTCACAGCTCTCAGAGGCTGGCAGCTCCCAGCTTCTGACCTGACAGAGGAGTATGAGACCTGGTGCTGTCATTCCATGAAAGCAAAAGAAAGATTTCAGGTTTTTTTGGTGCTGTTAGGATTACAAAGTGACAGGAGAGTTGAAAGGTTCCAAAGACTTAAGGGGTAATCAGGGCTGCCTTTCTGATTAACTTGGCCCTGTGTGCCCTTTGTGTGTTTGGTCCAAATGAAGTCTGGATTCATTTGTGCCCAGTGAAGTTGTAAATTCCTGCTGTGTTGCAGGGGCTCTGCTCAGAGTGTGCTCTGAAAGGCTGTACAGCAGCTTCTCTGCAGGTGTGAAATTGCAAGAGATCATTGCTGTGCAGGTTTAGGTATTCCATGTGTCTAAAAGCTTGGCTCCAGATTGCTTGAAATCAGATGGTTTGGGAAGTTTCCACAGTTTTTCCACAGTTACTCTGGGATTTTTCCCAGAGTTTTTTTCTGTTTTTCCCAGTTACTCTGTGATAAATTCCTCCCTTTTTCTTCTCCACCACCATATATATCTACTAACAGAAATTAGTAGATGTAGTTATGAGAACATTATCTTAATTTAAGGTGAGCATCACTCTTGCCAGGTACCTGAAGTGAGCTGGTTCTACCCCAAGTGCTGGATACACCATGTTTTGTCCCAGACTACGGATGTGATAGATCCCTGAACCTCAGTGTTCAGTAGCTCAGTGTTCAGCTCTAGACAAGTATTTTACTGCAGGTTTGCAAGACTGCAGAGTGTTAACTGTGAGGTGCTGAACAGGAGCTTTGTGCTGGCACAGTGCTCTGTGCTGCAGGCAGGGCAGGTGTCTGTGCTTGCAGGCCCCATCACTGAGCTCACCAGCTGCATCCACAGAGGTACATCTGGCTGCAGGCTCAGTTTGGTTAAATCCCACCACGCCTGGAGCTGTGGGCAGCCCTGTGATCCTGGATACATTCTCTGAAGGGTTGCACTTTTACCAGGTCTCACAGCACAGGCTTTTGACACAAGTCCTGTTTTCTTCTTCCCTAGTACTTCTGCTTCCAGTGTCTCTCCTGCCTCCATGCAGTTCCCCTTGCATCCTTGGGCGCTGTGACTGATAGTGAGTCAGAGCTGAGCTCTGAGCAAAGGTTGTGAATACATTACATAACCAGAGAGGTGCCCAGCAGCACGTACAGGCACTGTGAAAAGATGGAGCTCTGAACTGCTGCTGAGATTGGTTAGAATTTCAGCACGTTAAGTACACTTGTAAATGCTCTTCAGTCAAAGTGTATTTTTAAACCTGGTTCCTGGTGGCTGATGCTGAGGTGGTGAGAGCTTGCTGACAGTCCTGTGCCCTTGAGAGGCAGGTGTGTCCTGCTGCTTACGGCTGAGTACTTCAGAAATGGCCGCCTGCTTGTCCTCAGAATGCCTTTGACACAGGACAGGGTTTTCAGTTCGCAGCTGGCCCACTCAGACGCGTGTGATTGGTGCTTTCCTGAAGCTGGAAATGGAGGCTGTAGGCTGCAGGCCCCACACACACAGTGTGGAGGTTCCTGCTGGGACGCTCCGTCAGTGCCTGTGCGTTTGACACAGGACAGGGTTTTCAGTTCGCAGCTGGCCCACTCAGACGTGTGTGATTGTGTTTTCCTGAGGCTGGGAATGGAGGCTGTAGGCCCCACATACAGTGTGGATGTTCCTGCTGCGTCAGTGCCTGTGCACTCTCTCCACAGGTGGCATTGGCGAAGCCGTGTGTGCTGCTGTGGTGGGCGAGCCCGGTGTCACCGTCACTCGCCTGGCTGTGTCCCACGTGCCCCGCAGCGGGAAGCCAGCTGAGCTGCTGAAGATGTTTGGCATTGACAAGGATGCCATCATGCAGGCAGTGAGGGCAGCCATGTCCAAGTCCAGGAACGCGGAGTAGATCGGAGCGTCTCATGCTGTGTAACGGAAGAGCTGCGTTTGGAGAGGTTAAGGCAGGCAAAGGTGCTTCATGTAGAGAGTTCTAATAAAAATACCAGCTTAAAAAATCTTCTGGGTTTAATCTCTTCTTTTCTCTGTGGGGTTTGGTGTTGGGGGGTAATACCTGCAGCCCCTCCTGTCTGCCTTGCCCCCAGCCATTTAAAACCAAGACAAGGAGGAAGTACCCAATGTGCAGGGTGATGCCAAAGTGGAATGAGATGTTCCAGGTCCTGGGAAACCAACAGGGAGGTGAGGCCCAGCAGAGCCCTGGGCTGCATTGTAGTGCAGACAGCAAAAGTGAAGGAAAAAAAGTTGGAACTCTTCATAGGAACTTGTAGTTTTGAGTGCTTGGCTGATGCTACAGCAAGGGTGATGCTGAGAAGGACTAAAGGATCTGGAAGAAGAGCAGGAAATTCCCAGGTACTCAAGAGGATGCAGCTCGATGTGTAAGTTGCTTTTTTGTTGAGAACTGACTTTTCTCATGGGACCTGCTCTAAGTGGCTCAGCTGTTCATGTCACATGGTGGGATGCACTTGGTGACTTTTTAAATGTTTTGCTGTTTTTAAATGTTTTGCTTATAAGCAGTTTCTGTTAAAATTAAAAATTTATGTTTACTGCAGAGTACCAAATTTAAAACATTAAGTATTGAAACATGTTTCTCATCTTGACTATTCCACAAATTGCCTTTCAGAAAGACATTAGACAGCAGAGGACACTAAAAAAGCCTTTCTCATCAGAGCAGGGTGACTCTAGTTTTCAGTTCACCCAAAAGCCATTTCCCACTAGCATGGCTACAGTGGTCTGAGCAAGACTTTATTGGCAGACTAACAAAATATACAGTAGTTTGGGATGGTGAAATATTTCTACAAAGACATGTAAAGGAGCATATAAATACTATGAAATAACTTGTATTATCCTTCTTGCACAATTTAGCCCTTGAGGCATTGGGTGGCAGCTGTGCTGTGTTGGTGCAGGCCTGAGTGCAACTGTTGGTGTTTCTGGCAGTGCAGCTGGAACTGCAGGCAAGAGTGACTGACACTGGTGCTTCAAACCATGTACAACAAAAAGTAACCTTTCTAATCTTCTGAGCAAGGCTTGAAATGGTTCTGTAAAACTCTGAACTGTTTGGCTTTATAGCTTTCAGATTTACATTTCCTTAAAAGTCCATGTTTATGGCTTTTTCTGTTCAACTGGTTGCCTTCATCATTCTGTGGGTATGAAGACCTTACATTTTTACTTAAAATGTAGTTTTGTTGCAGTCTTCCTATGATTGCAGTAGCCCTACATTCTTGCAATGTGTAACACATCCTATAAAATGAAATGAATGTCAAAGTTTTGTGTTTATTTTCCTCAAAGAAAGAAAAAAGTTGGGGGATGAGTCAAATCAAGCACTTTGTTTTTCCCCTGAGAAAAGATGAAATCTGCTGTTGTTAATAATCTCATTACTACAGCACTGTCAGTGCCTGTAACATCTCCCCAGCTCTCCTCGGGTGAAACCACTGCCCACCCACTTCTCCGAGTTCTGCCACAATGGATTCATCAGCCCCAGTGCCGGCTCCGCCGGGGCTCAGCTGGGAGGGCAGGGCCGGCCCCTGCCTGCTCTGCACCGGGGGGAGGAGGAGGAGGCCAGAATCCCTCCAGAACCAGCACAGAACGCTGGTCTGCTGCTCTGGTACACCACAGGCAGACTGGCATGTTTTGTTAAATGAGAGATGCACCACCACGTGGCTGCCTGGGGCAGGGAAGGTGATTGTGTTTGTATTTCAATGGAATTGAACACAAAGCTACATCTCCATTGTCTTCCAAGCTCTGCTGAGCCCCAAATCACTTCAGAATCCAGAGGAGGGGCCCACAACCCCAGTTTCAGGTTTATTTTGGAGGGAAAGGAGTGATGTTTTTCAGAGGTTTCACATTTCAGTATTTCACATTAGCCTTTGGTTGTTAGGTTCACCTCATAAAGCAGTTTCTTTAGTCCTGGAAATTTGGACAGCCAGGTTTGGGGAACTCTCCTGAAATACTCCTCCTAGGCAGCTTTCACCATACCTGTGGGATGAAGAAAAAGAGTGCTGTCAGGACTGCTGTGTTCAGATTGCACTGTATCCATGCAGCTTTTCAGTATTCTTTGTTTTGTGTCCATAAACATGGATAAACATGAACCAGGAGCCTGAAGACCCAACAAGTGAAGACTCCCTCCAGCCCCAGTTTTTATTTAAGCTATAGAATTCTTATGCAGACATTGCCAGGAAATACCCCATACAGGGTGGAGTATTAAAAATGTGAAAATGTTCTGCCACAGGGAGAGTCAAGACTAAATAATTTTCAAACCCAAACAGCTGTAATGAACTGTAGTGAAAGACTTTTTTTTTATGGCAACAAGATGGGAAATTGTCATTTAAATGAGTTGGTCTTAATTCTTGACAAAAACAAGGTCCAGGGAAGGCATGCTGTCAGGAAAAAGAGCACTGTTACCTCTTGGCCTGAATCTGTCAATCAGAGGAACAAAGCTGTCGAGGACACTCCGAATTCGGTACACTGGGTGTGAAAACAAATGTATAAGGTAAGCAACATAAAACATAAAAAAGTAGAAAAATGGCAAAACCCAAACACTGACACTTGTTTAAACAAGCACACCTGCAATATCATTAATAAGAAAGATCAGTCTGAGTCATGAGAGAACCATCCAGAACCTCCCACCATGTTAACAAGAGATTACAGAGGAGACAATTTCTTGGTTGGGGAGCCATAACTTACTGCTGGTGTCAGCACTCCTATACCATCCTTAAGGATTGTCAAAATGCACAGGTTTTAATATTTCCAACAGCTGCTGCCCCAAGCTCATCCTCAGTCCCAGGGGAATGCATGGCAGCCAGGATGCACAGCATCTTATCCAGTGGATCTGGGAAGACAGGCCTTGCTGCTAAAATTACACGTTGTCATGGCAACGCAGCATTCGGCCATTGCTGCAGAAAGAGGTGACTCAGGGTCTTGTGATCACTGAGAGGGAAAAATGAGTCAACCTCTCCCTTCAGTAGCATTAAGGCTGCTTGTCTGCATCCCCTCTGTAACTGGGAGATGTTGGGGGAGTTTGGTGGCGAGTTACAGAATCTCAGCCCCAGCAGTTTTATGGGCTGTGGCAATTGTGTGACCTTGTCTTTAGTGCAGGGACACAGCTGCTGCTGGAGGGACACTTACCTAGACCAAAGTATATCCCAGTGGTTTCCAGGGAAGCAAAGGTGATTAAGCCAATCCCAAGAGAAATAGTCCAATCTAAGGCAACAAAATAAATGTTAGCTTTGTTCATTTTTCTACAGTGCAACAATACATCCTTCAGTTGAATCTTGTCTTACCTTTGTAGTAGTAGTAGCAAACTAGTAAAGCTCCAATTGCAAAGCAAAGAATGACAAAATGAAAGAATTCATCTGAAATTGAGAGGGAAGATTAGGTCACAACTGCAGCCATGGCCCTTCCAAATTCACCTTTAGGTACAGAGTATCACTCATGGAATGAAATCAATTTCCCTGAGATTTCTCAGGCACTAGGCTCAACATTGTGAGAGGCCTCAATGATTTTCATCACAAAGCCTTGATGCACTTCAACTAAGCACTCATGTTGGAAAAATGAGTGGAAAAAAGGTGGTTTTGAACCAGAGATCTTATTCTTGGACTAAGGTTCAACAGGTTTGACATCAGTTTGATTTAATAAATCAATTACCATCCTTCCGTATGCCCATCCATGTGCACTGAGGTGGGTGAGTGCTCTCCTTCTCATATGCTACAAAAAAGAGAAGTCTTTTATTACTGTGGAACTGTGAAATTAAGGAGTTTAAAGTTTATTTCCCTTTTTGTATCTGAAATAGATTGTCAGAGCAGAATATATGTAAAACTTTTTGTTGGTCTGCAAACCTTTCAGAAAGATCAAATTGGAAATTTTTACATCATTCCAAAGAGCATGGTTTTAAAAATGAATTTTAAAAAGTATAACCAGCTGGCTGCATTAACAATACTGAATTGTTTTAAAGTACTCTGGATATTTTCTATCTCTTCTGGGATGAGCCATAGTCTCAGAATGACAGTGGGGGAGTAAAGCCATAGTACAAGGGAGCTTCAGTTTGATCCCTGGGTGCTTTGCACAACCACAGCTACAGTAAAAAGCTCCCCTTCATTACTGAGGGTGTGAGAATCATCCCTCTACGAACACCTGACTCCAAGTACTTCTGCACCTCCCAAAATGAGACCTGCTGCTGAAATGAGTCTTCTGCAGCTACATTGGCACAGAGAAAAAACAACATAAGAACAAATGAGGTATTTTAGAGGTTTAAACACAGACCAGTTTACTTTGTCATGAAAAAAATTGCCAAATTCTCTTTTTCCCCCACCTGTATTGCCAGAAAGACTTGAGTATTTTACCATCTCTCCAACAACAGGTTCAAAGTACCAGTTTTTTCTTTTTTTCTTAGTTGGTGGTTTGAGCAGCCCCTGAGGCACTCAAGCTGCACCCAAGCCTTTGGGAGTTGATTCAGAACAAGTTCCAGATGATGATTTCCCCTACACTGGGCAACCTCTGTCTGGCAGTGAATTTTCTCTAAAGATGTAACAGGTGAGTACTGGAAGGGTCCTTTACATGAGCTCTAAACTTTTGCTGTGGTGCTTTTGAACCACAGAGCAACTAAACCTTGAACAGAAACTCTGCTCTGGGTCACCTGATACAGGCATCAGATTTTTGCCTCTTTGAACAGTCTGGATTGATCACATTCTGGTTTGGGGGCAAACTCAATTATTTTCTTATTAATACCATAATATTGCATTATTCTGACTCACAGATACAACTCTGTGCAGTTGTATGAAAGATCTATAGATAAAGAATTTAGCAGAACATCAATTCACACTTGGCTAGTGTCTGTCCTGTGTTACTCTACTTCCTAAATGCAACAGTCCCACTGTAACTTAGCATCATGGAATGACTTGCACAGTATTTCTTCTGTGAAAGCATTCCATGTTATTACCCATTTTCAACTTTCTACTTTATGATTAGACAATCTCTAGGCATCAAGGAGCTGGTACTGCCCTCACCACACTAAGCAAAACTCCTGAAAGAACATCTATAAAATAAACTTCTTTATTTGCATGTTTGTACCCACCATCTACATCTGAATCTTCTCTTCTGGCAATCTCTGAAAAGAAATATAGTTTTGTTACTTCTGATGGAAAAAATACAAACATAGAGCTTCCCACCATACTCAGCACCAAGAAGCACAGTGAGTAATCACGGATCTGCAAGAAAACTGGGAGGAGTGGTAGAGAGGCCAAACACCAAGGGGAAAAGTCCCATGACCCTTTCTGCACCTGGCAATGTGGCCCTGCAATGGATCCCTCTGCCCTGCTGTTCCTGTGGCTCCTTGGGGATAGGGAACTCAAAAACCTCCCCAAGGGATTATGCTGCAATTTGTAACTTCTCCACTGCACAGAACAGAAGTGGAGCAGATGTCCTCTCCAAAGGCTGCTCCACTGAGCTGTTTGTCTCTCCTAACTCATCCTGTGGCCTTGGCCTGGGCACAGGAGGGATGAGCTCAGTAATGCAATTAAGCTGTTGGCAATTTCCTGCTGTGGGTTTTTTACAAACATTCTGGGGCTGGGCAGCAGTGTCTGGTGGGAGGAAGTCTGCTTTCACACTGCCTGTCTGTGCAAGCCTCTTGCCTGGCACTGTTGCTCTGTTGCCTGACATCTGGCTTTCTCCTGGCACCTCCTGCTGGAAATGCTGTGCATTCAGAGCCAAGCATCACTGCTTACAGAAACCAAGTTCCAGGTCCCTCCCAGCCTTGCACCCCTGCTCAGCAGGAGCCAGAGGGCTTCAGGAAATGCTAAAAACTGCCTCTAACTTTTTGGGCTAAGACTGAACAGTTGCCCAACAGAACTGCTGGGTTTTCCCCTAAAGAATACCTGCTATGAGCTGATCTTGGGAGAACATGGCAGGCCTACAAAAATGGGTTCATCTGCCAGAACACCTTGTACAAATCACCTGCTGTCAGCCTGTCACTACCACAGCCTTGCAACAGAATGTCTGCACCGTGCCCAGGCCCAACACCAGGCTAACTGGAAACAAGAGATTTACAGCCTGAGAGTTATTTTCTAATGTCTCAGCAGGTCAGAAAGAACACACTGCAGTTATAGTCATTCCAGCAGGATGAGGTGAGCTGAGAGCACTTACCTGAATCTCTGTAGGGAACCATCTCTGCTGGTATTCCTAAAACATGACACAGAGACGAGGTAGGTTAATACCTGCAGTGAGGGTATCTGGGCCAGTGCCAGCCCATCAGCTCCCTGAAATCAGTGTGGGTGTGTTACAGAGACAAGGAAGAGACTGACTCTAACTCCTTACAGAGGGTGCCTCTGCTGGGGGTTACGCAGTCAAAAAGTGGGAAATGACTGAATTCTTCCCCCAGCTATTCCACCTCTCCAAGTATCTGGAGAGGTAGAATGATTCAGGTAGAATCAGACTCCTGTGAGACAGATTAGATTTCCTAATGCCAATTTTAAATGAGCTTCTCTTACATTTGGGCTGAGCTCAGTTTAAGACATTAAATTAAAAGATTAATGCTTTACATTTTTACATCCATAGTTCTATAGGTATTTCTGTGTATTGACACAGCACATTTTCTTCATCTGCACTGTACTTATTTTCCATTTTTCCTTTGGTAGGAAAGGAAAAGCCTCAGGAACAAAGTGATGATGAACTCCAGTCAGTGCTGTGGGCTGACTGCAGCCCCTCTAAGTAGTGGCTGTGACAGATGTTTTCAGAACCCTCTTGCTGCATTTCAGCAGCAGCTGTGCAGACCCAGGCAGCAGGACTCCTCCCACAACAGCAGATTTTGCAGCTTTCCTGGTTCAACTCTGAGCACAGGGCAAGGCTGAGTGTCAGCATTAGTTGAGCTTCATCTTGTAGGAAATATCTTTCCTACAGCCAAATTCTGACTTGTCTTTCTTTTATATCTACATATGTTAATATACCTTTGTTCAACAGCCAACCCAAAGAATGCAAAAAATAATTCTTTTTTTGGGTTATATTGGCTGCCTCTAGTAAAAGCCATACTGTTGTCACTTTGTCCTACCTCCAAGTAACTGGCCTTCAGTCTTCTGTCTTCCTAAATATTCCTCATCACTGTCTGGATAGGAGAAAGTATTTGTTCATCAGAGTAAAGAAAAATGTGCTAGCAGCATCAGAAACAACAGCACTGTAGTTATTTGCTCATAATATAACGATAGGAAGGTAAAAATCAAGGCTTTGAAATGCAAGGATCACTATGGGCTGCTTTTGCCTCACAGCTCCCTTCAGAGCTGGCTGAACAGGTGAAACTCGGCAAAACCTGAAGCTGGATTAACTTGTATAAAGGGCTGTAGAGAGAAGCTAGGATCTTCCATTTGAGGAAGGAATCTTGCAGCAGATTTCTACATTTCTGAAACCAACTTCCACAAGAGTGGGTGGTAGCCACTATTTTGCTGATTATGAATCAGGTACTGATAATTTTCTATGTTCTCTCTTTTACACAATTTATTACTTTATTCAGAGCTCTACAGACTTGCCACATCTCCTACGTCAATCCTTACAAACATGCAGTCAGACTAAATTATGTATCAGGGAAAATAAAATAAATCCTCTTTACCTTGTGTATCTTCATCTATGGATTCCTGGGATGAGTTTTCAGACTTTTTGTCCTCTTCTGAATATTCAAAATTCCTTTCCAAACTCTTCAAGAGTTTCAATTTTTCATCTTTTTTTTATAAAGAAAGAAAAGAAAAACATTATCAGTGACTACATTTTCTATTTTACAATTACAGATTTCCTAATGCTTTATTAAAAGTTGCCTGACAGAAACTCAGACCCTCTGTCTAATTTCAGCTGTTTTTTTTGCACACAAAGGGTAGTACAAAGCATCAAACGAAAACATCATACACACTACAGTTTAGACCTTCTTAAATGGTTGTGGTAGACACCTAAAGTTTCATATTCTGGCGTTTAATTATTCATAATGTTACCCCTGTGCAAATTCCCACTCCCTGAAGCGGCAGCAGCTGAACGATGCTTCAGCAGGAGAGGATGGGGCTCCCCCTGCCCTGGGCTCCCCGCGCCGACGCCGCGGCTCCAGCTCCCTCTCGTGGCACCGGAGCACAGCCCTCACAGCCAGGCCACACCAGGATCCCCGCTGCTCTGGCTCCTGTGGCCAGGGCTGACTGAACAGTTCACACCCAGCTCTGTGCCCAGGGCTGGGGCTCTGAGCATCTCTTCATCAGGAGGGGCAGGATTTGGGCACAGGCAGGTAGATGGGATTCCTTCTCCTCCAGCTCCTCGAGGCTGCTCACAGCCCAAGGGTCTTGTTACCAGTTTAGGGTGATCTTAAGTGAGTGCTCCTCTGTCATCTATTAAAGACAATCAATGACTATGGACCCTGTGAAACTGCCCTTAGTTCCTTACCGCACAACCACGCAAACAAGTCTCTTTTATCTTGTTGCCAGGTTCAGCACCTTATGTGCCATCATCTGTCCATTGCTTTTATTTTTGCATGTGCTGCCAAGGAATTATATTTGTACTAATATCTTCCCTGGCTCAGCTCTGATTTCCTACCACTGAGAGTGGTCAGAGGGGTCCTGGCTGGCTGGATAACAGTCTGTGCAAAAACATCAGAGAAAACCTTCTCAAGTCAGAGAAACTTCTTTGGCAGCATCATCCCAGGACATGCTCTCTCCCTAAACACAGGCAGTTTTTTCACCAGAAGCAGCCAAGCCTAACTGCAGTAAAATACTAACTTTGGCTCCCATTACCAGCACACCTAACTGCCTTTCCTGAGCAGCACTTCCAGGCGGTTCAGTTGCTCACTAATAATCACTTCCAAGCATATAACAGAATGTTCAAGCTGCTGTCAAGTCCCACTGACAGCTGACAGGAGGACAGGCAGGACTCACCCTTTCCCTTGGAGCTGGGCAGCTGCCTGTATCCAGATGGGTTGGAAGTCTTCAGCAAAAGGTAAAGAAGAGCCATTGCCCTGACTCCTTTCTTCTCTATGGCTTTCAGGCAGGCAGCACAACCTCCAGGGAGGACATCACAGCTGTTAAGGAGCTGAAAAGGAGGTAAGTAACTAGCAAATGGTCTTTCCAATAAAACACAGCCTGTAGAAGCACACCCTGATGGGCAAATGAGTGTACCCCACCCTGTGGGAAATGTAACCCCCTGCTCCTACTATACAAAGGGAAAACTGGGGGCAAAGAGTAATAACTCGGAGCAGAGCTATCAACTGGCAAAAACAGCATGGTGGGCAAGAGTTAACCATTCAGAGAGCTGGAGAAATACAGCTATAGGGTCTGAAAAAGGCCATGAAATTGCTGCAGTATCTTACAGCAAAATGTGACTAACAATGGTCCTGCCTAGAACATAGTGAGCTGAGCTGATCCTGAGGAATTTACACAGAGCCAGTTATTTTTGCACATGGAGAGCAGTGAACTAAAAAGCAGTGGCCTGAACCTCCTTTATCTAATGCCCTGTTACACCTTTTAATATAATTCAGTATATCAGCTAGTGGGACTGTGTTCTCTCTCCCCAGAGTATAGTAGAAAAGTAGAAGAACAAGGATAAGTGTTTCTTTGGTAACTTACATTGTTCTTTTCTTCAGTACTCAGGATAGGTGGGTCAGTAGTGGCCAAGCATTTCACAAGTGATTTCCAGAAGGACTGGTTCATTTTCTCATGATCCTCCAAGTACTTGGCATCAGCAGCAAAAGCTCTCTGAAGAATGTCTGCAAGGAAAACAAACCTGTCACTGTGCAGGAATAGAGGGGGGTTTGATGGCAGTGTGCCTGTGGTGCTGAGTGCAGGTGTGGAGACAGACACCAGGCTGTAACACACTGCCCAATAACAGCACACAGGAAAGAGAGTGGTGCTGTACTGCATAAAGCATCCCAGTCTGCCACAAAACAGTAGACAAATGTCAATAGTCCATACAAATGACTGATGTCTCTGTGATGCTGTTTCTCAGTTAGAGAAGCATGGCAATTGTTCCCTAAGTATTCCTAGCTATTTAACAGGTATTTATTCTGACCACGCTGTTTTACAGACAGGCACAAAAGCCCCAGGACTCAATACCAAGGTTCTGAGATTGCTCATCAGGCATTTAATGCACAGTAAAGTCTCCTTCATATATCTGAATTCCCACTTGCATGTGCACAAAGCCTAGCAGGAGGCTGTGGAAGAGTTGGGAATTGACTGCTGGTCTCTTTTACAAGCAAGGAGACAGATAGGGTGTGTTTTCAGAGGAAACAGATTTCATTGACTCATGCCCACCCTGGCAAACACTGCTGTGCACTGTGCATGAGCCAAAGCTCTGATCTTTGTGTACTTCCCTCACCTTGCTGTTCTTCAGTAAGATCTGGGATCGGGACATCCAAATTCTCCATTGCTGTGCCTGTTTGAAAGGGGAGAAAAAGCACATTTAGAATCAGGTCACTGACCTTCCTGGTTTTCTGTCTTTGATTTTCTGCAAACACAGTATCTCTCTCTGGGCCTTTCAGTTTTGAAATCACTTCTCTGTTTCACATCATGATTCATTTACCCTTCTGGGACCCAGTTTTTGTCTCCTCCAAGTGAGCCTTACTGGCCTTTGGTTATTAGGAAAGAACAAAAGTCTGATCATCATGAGTAAAACAAAAAGAAGTCAGACTTGATCATTCACATTGTTGTTTTGTAAAGCTACCAAGGTGTCTAATTAAACATTTACCACAGATGTGAGTAACCTAACAGGCTGGGTTCCATTCACTAAACAGAACAATTATCTTGTACCTTTTACATCCTAATACCTAAAATGTATCAGCCAGGAAAAATAGCAGAAATAGTTCCTAGGTAAGTCCCAGAAGACTTTGAATTCTTGCCTCACAGAAGACTTTGATATTTACTTCAACATCTCTTCTTCTCAAGTTGTCATGAAAAGGAAATTTCCATAAACTTTAGCTTTATGAATTACAAACTTTTAAGTGTTGATCCCAGATTAATTAGTGGTATTTGTTACAGAAACAAATGTTCTGACATCCCCGAAATTCAGCATTTCCTTTTGCTTTTATAAACTTGCCTCAGAAGTTTTGGGCTGAGGCTGGAATATTCTGATGGTGCACATTTTGTGGTGGCTGTGGTTCTGAACTGCTGCCTCTGCCTGGCATGGTCCAGGCATTCTGCACTGCTGCATCTCCCCTCGTGCAACATTGCAAATAATCAACTTATTGAGAGATGCAAAAGAAGGGTTTGGGGGAGCCTAAAGCACAGTTTCCACTATGCAGGATGCAATAGGAAAACAGTTCATATGTCCACACATTTTCTTACAATATGAGTTTTGGATGCATTCAACAAAACACTTCCAATCAAGTAGTTTCAAAACTAAATATATCCTTCAGAGTTTCCAGAGGAAAACCTGCTTCTTTTCCCACTGTCACTTTCAGTTCTCTAAAGACCATCATATCAGTCCAAAAAATATTCTAATACAAAACCCAAAACAGGTCAGTTAATATCTTGAAAAAGATACTGTAACACATAAACAGAATGAACCATTTTTTTAGGGTGTCAGTTCTCAGACAGAGGAAATTAGACACAGACAGACTTCAAAAGACTTCTGGGAAAATTACATAACCACTTTCAAAGGCTCAGCTCAGAAAACTTTGCTTACCTGCCTCCAAAGTGTATTGTGAGAAAACAATATTTTAACAACATTTTGAAATTATTCCAAGTGATGAATCTATGCAAAAAATCTACAGATGTTCCCCTTTCCTTGACTTACATCCAGCCTTTGCTGCTGTAGCTGTGGCAGCAGCCCTGGGGGAGCTGTGAGCCTGTGAGCACCCGATAGGGAATGCAGGAAATGCATCGGTCCCCTCTGTGGGTAAGCATCAGCTGATGTGGAAATGTAGGAACCCAGCACACCACACCCTGGACAGACTCGTTCTTGGCCACTCAATCAAGGATGTCAGTTCATAGACACATTTATATCTGCAGCTATGGTTTTCTGCCTTTTTTCAGTCTCTTTCTTGCCCTCCTATTTGCTCAACTTAGACCTTGCAACAGTTGCTTGTTTAACCTGAATCCTTTAGGCCTCTCTCTGGACTGTATGGTTAAAATACCAGAGATGAAGGAACAAAAGTACCTTAAATATAAACTTTTTTTTCCAGCTGATTAATTCAATTTCAGAAAATAATTTAAAAAGTATCATGATATTTTACTGTCAAGTGAAATTCAGGATGTTTGTCTTTGGGGTTCCTACTACCTAGTGAAGGCCACTTTCAGTGGCATTTTAAGGCAGGTTGCTGTTCCCCTGACAGGAACCTGTCACAGCAGCTGCCTTATCCCAGCTTTGCATCATCCCTAAGACCAAGTGAGCAGGTTGGCACTACATGACCTGTCCTGCCACGCACACAGGAAGAGCAGATTCAACACTGAAGGCAGGGCAGACGCTGCCAACGTCATCTTCATCTGCTATCAGACTGATTGACTTCAAAACTGCTCATTTGCTGGCCCAAATGAGCCAGCGGGCTGTTCAGCTGTTCCAGCAACAGAAACAGAGCTGTCTAATGCCTTTTGCATCCTGCTGTGGTAAGATCTGGATGCCACAAGAGGATCTAGGAGCACCCAAGCATCTGCTCCCATCTCCCTTTCTGTGCCTCCAGCACAGCTCAGCCCAGTCAGTCACCAAGATTTACATTAACCAAGGAAGTTGGGTACCTAATTTCGCTTAGACTATGCACATTAATTACCCTGTGGCTCTTCTGGAAAGAAAATCAGATCTAAACAAAGGATAAGTATAGGTACCTAATTATTGTATGTTTTAAAAGTGACTTAGTTGATTATACCTCATAATGAGAGCAGGATGATGATATACAGGCATTTCAGCCTGGCCATGAGCTCACTGGGGAGTGACATGAACAACAGACTTCACCTTGCTTTCCTCACAGTAAATCAGAATTTAATTGCACTGAGGTCTTTTTAACATGTTAGAATAAAATTTGTGTGCAGAGTCACATTTAGAAAGTGAGGTTAACAACTTCCATATATGAGGTTTTGCTTAGCTGATTAAATATATCTGAGGGAAATTGCTCAGTGGGATAACAAGAAAAATGCAAATAAGGTTGTTTTAACTTCAAGTCAAAAACCAGACAATCCCAAACATTTTCCCTTTGAAACTACTTTTACCTTTCATTTGAAGTTATATGCTGACACCTAAACCTGCTAAATTTTATTTTAAATATAAAGTCCCTCAGTGCCCTTCTCTCAAATCAAAGCAAACCAACTTCTTAAAGCACACCTGCAAGTCTTAGGTTGGTCCTAGCAGTTGGTTCCACAGGAAGACGTCCTGGAGGGCCGTGGCTGTGGTGAAAGCTGAGTTTCTTCCTGTGAGACAACAAAAACTGATCCACACAAGTTCCGTCTGAAACCCTTCCTGCTCCAGTCTCCTCGGGCTCTGGTAATAATTCCGCTACCCTTCTGCTTGCCTTCCTGTTGTCAAATGCAGCTGAAATGCGACACAGAAGTAGCAAAACTCAGACTTTTCACTCTCCTTGTACACAGGCATGTAGGGAGACCCAGCAAATGCGGGTCACAGCAGCGAGGGCAGCTCCCCAGGCTGGCTCTGACAGCCCCATGGGGATGAGCAAGGAGCAGGCACAGCCCATGCACTCCCTGCCACAGCTCCAGCACTTCCTTCCTCTCCTGGCTTTCACAGCAGGCCCAGACACGGTGGCTGCACTGCTGCCAGCCCCACACCTGTAAGCCCTGAGGAGGTTACTGCCCATTTTCCAGCTCTGCCTTAAGCATTGGCATGCACGTTTGAAATTACTTGGTTTGTGTTTCTCCTTTCATGCCCTGTGCCTCTCTGCGGTTGCTGTAAAGCTCTGAAGGAAGAATATTAACTCACCAGAAGCCAGAAATGTTTATGCTTGTAGTCTGAGTAAAATTAAGGCAAACAAATCTTTCTCTTTGCATAAAGTGTTGGGCATGCTGTGACGATTTTACAGAAAAAAAAAAATTTAAAAGATGGGGAAGTTGAGTCAAAAAGACTCCAGTTGAGTCAAGAAGAGAGATTATAGGGAAGTCCTGTAATCCCCACAGCACCAGAACCCTTTTCCTCTACAGTGGCTTGATGCCTCAAATAGCAACCCAGCAGTACCAAGAGCCAGCACACAGCCCCCAACCACCCTCAGGCTTGACCCCAAGGAGCTCCTGAACCCCTCCCCAGCACTCACCTTCACGGCTGTATGCAGTTCAGGATCCTGGGTCAGGGATCCAGAGCCAGCCTGGGCGGGAAGGCGTCGGGGCTGGGGCCTCACGTGGCCTCCCCTGACTCACGGGGTGAGCGGCGGCGGCTCCGTTGTCCTGTGGCTCCTGAGGTCACGCTGCAGGCATGTGTTCCCATGTCCCTGAGCCCTGGGGAAGGTGGCCAAGGGCCAATCCCACTGACACAGAGAGAGGAGATGCAGCTCCCAGCCTGCCTCAGGCACGAATGGCCCCCAGTAGCCCTGAGCAGCCAGGAGCCCTCACTCCTGCCCACGGCGGCTCCAGCACAGCCCCTGCTCAGGTTGGAGACCCAGCCCTGCTTTTTTGGCCTCCCTGGGACATCAGGGGGGCAGTGGGGATGTAGAATCCACTCTGTGGGGAGAGGCCCTGCGCTCTGGTAAAGCTAAGCAGGGACACCATGATGAGGGCTTGGAAGCCCAGGCATGCTCCCCTCCTGCTCAGGGCATCCCAGGGAGGCACAGGTGGAATGCCTGTGCAGCTGGGCCAGTGACAGCAAAGAGAAACGTGCTCTCCACCTCACCTGTCCCCAGCAGCCACACAGGGTGCTGACAACACAAAGCCTCTGGCTCTGCTCATCCTATACCTGCCACAAAGGTCATTGGTGCTCCCCTCCAGCCCTTCTCAGCCACGACAGTTATCTGGGGCCACCCCAGGGCTGTTTGCTGCTCAGGGCAGCTGCTCCCTCGCTGGCAGGTGACGCTTTCTGAGCCAGCCAGCCTTCACCACAAGGAAATGAGAGCAGGAAAGGAGGGGGCAAATTCCTGCAGTGCACTACAGCAGAAGGTGGCAGATGTTTGGTCACCTGAAAATGTATGTGAGGAGTGACAGCCAGTGTCAAAGGAGACTCCTTGGGCCACTCCAATAGCACAGTGGCTGTTGATAGCACAAGGTGTGGTCATGTAAGTAATTTGTCAAATTCAGCTAATGGTTTGACATGGTGCAGTTGGTGTCCCAGGAAGGATTGTACTCCCTCCCTCTGTTCTCACTTCTTCATCTCCTGATGCTTCTGGAGTGACTGGGACACAGGTAAAGTAAGTTATACTTCCTAGAGTAGTTTGTGTAGCTTGTGTTTATTTTTCTTTTCCAGTCTGTTTGGCTGCTTGCTATGGTTTTTTGGTATCTTTTTAGAAGGTGAAAGGATTGGGGTTTGTGGTTTTTAAACCAGGTATTCCACTACATTTATACAAGTGCCTATTCAAATGCCTTGTCTCACCTCCCCTGACGTTTTTAATTACATGTAACATTGAACATTTAAAGCAGCTAAGACTCTGCATCTGCTGCTGGGAAGATTATCTAATGAATTAGAATGCTTTATCATGTATTACATGTGTTTACTTGGTCCTTATTTAGGAACCATCCTCTGAGAGATTAGAGAATGGTGATTTATTCTTTGTATGCTGGGAAAATTGCTTCCAGGAGGGGTTTAGAGAGGTGAGACACAGGCAGAGCAGCTCTTATGCTTGACACTAATTGGGTGCAACATGTGTGTGGATTTGTCACATAGACAGGTTGCATGAGAAATGTGGAAATACTCCTAAGTGAGTGTAGGAGGGGCCCAGTGATGGAACATACAGTAGTTATTGCTCATTATGTCATCACATTTCTGACAGATTTAAACATTCCCATGACTCCTCTTGCCCTACCCTGACTTTCATCCAATGGGCTGGTTAAATTACTCCCATTTACTTGCTACTTATTTTCCTTTAAATAAAGTCTGCTTCAACAATTGTTGTGAGCCTGTGAAGCACAGGTAAATGCAGAGGGATTATGCCTCACTGCCAGCTGTACTTTGCAGGCTACAGGTAGTTTAATTACCTTTCTGCTTGTGTTTATTTTTCTTTTCCAGTCTGTTTGGCTGCTTGCTATGGTTTTTTGGTATCTTTTTAGAAGGTGAAAGGATTGGGGTTTGTGGTTTTTAAGCCAGGTATTCCAGTACATTTATACAAGTGACTATTCAAGTGCCTTGTCTCACCTCCCCTGACGTTTTTAATTACATGTAACATTGAACATTTAAAGCAGCTAAGACTCTGCATCTGCTGCTGGGAAGATTATCTAATGAATTAGAATGCTTTATCATGTATTACATGTGTTTACTTGGTCCTTATTTGGGAACTGTCCTGTGAGAGATTAAGGAGAATGGTGATTTATTCTTTGTATGCTGGGAAAATTGCTTTCAGGAGGGGTTTAGAGAGGTGAGACACAGGCAGAGCAGCTCTTATGCTTGACACTAATTGGGTGCAACATGTGTGTGGATTTGTCACATAGACAGGTTGCATGAGAAATGTGGAAATACTCCTAAGTGAGTGTAGGAGGGGCCCAGTGATGGAACATACAGTAGTTATTGCTCATTATGTCATCACATTTCTGACAGATTTAAACATTCCCATGACTCCTCTTGCCCTACCCTGACTTTCATCCAATGGGCTGGTTAAATTACTCCCATTTACTTGCTACTTATTTTCCTTTAAATAAAGTCTGCTTCAACAATTGTTGTGAGCCTGTGAAGCACAGGTAAATGCAGAGGGATTATGCCTCACTGCCAGCTGTACTTTGCAGGCTACAGGTAGTTTAATTACCTTTCTGCTTTTAAACTGTGAAACTTGAGAGAGAAGAAAAAGCAAGAAGCAGTGAGTACAACCCACTTCCTAACCTTCCAGACAATCACTGAACCAGTAACTTATGCTGAAATTGGGTGAAAGATGTTTGCTTTTGGCTGGGACAAAGCCTGACGTTTTGCTATGAAAGCTTGTGGAATCATTTGTAGAGTATGAGTACATCATGTTGTACCTTACTAAGATTTTTGGAAATTTTTTTCTCATTCTGTACCCTCCTGTAGAATTACTTGCCATAATAAATAATTCCTTGTTATTATTATTATTTTAAATTAACACAGTAAAATTTTTGCTAAAGCCCGTTAAATTTAAAAACTAGGCCTGTTGGAGCAGGCTAAATCAAAGGCCAGGATGTATCACTCACTTCCTGGAGGATTACTGAGCTCCTCAGGTGCTGCTATCAACAGCTCCCAAGGGAGAAGAGTGAGTGATCCCAGGACTGACAAGCACAGGATCCTCCCCTTAATGGCTACAGGTAATGATGGAAATTCCCTCGTTATGGGAGCTCCCCTTTGCTATGCTCAGCACACTACAGGCTCACAAATGGGCTCTGAGGGATGAGAGGGAGGGGGGTGTCTGGACTCTGGGGCACTGGCTGCTGGTCATTCCAGTTTAGCTACAGGGCAGTCTTCCAGTTACAGTCTGGCTGCTGAAGCCCAGGCCCATCAGTAGGATGGACAGCACAGCCCCAACACAAAGCACAAATCCAAAAAGGACAGGCTGCTGCCTGACAGAAGTAGGGAACAGTGAACTTCTCCCAGCCTGGCTGAGCAGTGCTGCAGCAAGCACAGGGATCAATGTGGGGTCCCAGGATACTCTCCCCACCCACTGCCCTTACTGGAGAATTGCTTCCATAAGCAACCTCCAAATATCTGCTCCTCTCCTCCTCCTTGTTCTCCCAGTTCACTGGGCTCCCTTTTCCACCCCAGTCTTCTGGTCTAGCAATAGGGCTGGAAGTGCCTCATGGAAGCAGAGCCAAAGGCAGGGGAGCACAGATGCACCCTGGGAAGCACCAGGAGCCAGAGGGACAATTCCCACCTTCAGCTGATCCTCCCTCTTGATAAAGCCCTCTTCCTCAGCACTTTCAAGCACACAGGCAACGCCAAGGATTTCAATATTTAATCCTGATGTTTTGTAGAATGGGTTTGGTCCTGGAATCCATTTTGATTTTGTAAACCTGTCAGCAAGGCAGGCTGTGACCTGTGCCCCACTGCTTTGTCAGCAATGTACCTGCCAGGAGATGGCAAGGCCACAAAGCAGAACAGCCTCCAAAGGCAAGGAGTTGGTTACCTGGTGGGATTACCTGTTGGCATAGGGGTAACACAGGGACAGTCACAGAGCTGGGCTGAGGCTGGGCCTGCAGCTCTGTGCAAACTGTCAGTGGACTGAGGTGAACCTCAGAGCTCCCACAGGCCTGACTCTGAAGTCAGCAGGACACAGTTTCATCTACCCATTATTTCCCCAGGATATTATTTCTCAAGCTTTTGCTCCAGGACATACCCAACAATAATCCTCTCCTCCAAAAAGAGGATTCTGTCAACAACTGGCTTCACACTCCTGTGATATGAAGTGAAAACACACAGGCTGTGTCAGATTGCACAGGGAGAGAGGGACAGGGAAGCTAAGTGGAAAGGTGAGTTCATGGTACAGCCACCGTAAAGCTTTTATGTACTCCAAGGCCAAGTTCCCAGCTCCCAGGACCTGCAGAGCTCAGAGCTCACTGCTGGCAGCTTTTGGAAACTGGACACGAAGCCTCAGTGAATCTGGAGACCTCTCATACTCCTGTGACCTTCCCATCTCACTGACCTGGGGAGCAGCAGCAATCCCAGGCTGGCAGGGCCAATCTTCTCTTTGTGAGACAACTACTCCAGTGACATCCACTGCTCTCAGTGCCTTGGCACCAGGTTACAAGCAGACACCATCTTCCGGGGTCTTTAAAATTCAGCCTTGCAAAGCTCTTAGGATCAAAGTGCAGCTTTGTTTGTCCCTCAACAACTCAGCTTTGTCCTAAAACATTCCTCTCTTGAGATCCTCAGCTCACTGAATTATCAGGTTCAATCACCTGCAACATAAAGGGGATGAAGGTACATTTCACTTTAAAATTGTTTCCTAAAATCAAGGGTCTGCTCACAGTAGGCACTGAGAGCCCAAAGAGTATTCACTAAAAGCTAGAACTATTTTAAAAATCTGATCCAATCCATTCATCTTAAAAGATGTACTCTGGATCAGACTAAAACTTTCTTGGGCTATGCAAAGCTTGAATCAAGCTCTAGATCCCTGTTCTGCTGACACCACACAAAGGGTGACACCAATACACCATGTCTTCCACCCAGATCAAAACACTACAGCTCATTCCCAAACCTTGGAGCCTCTAACAATGACTGCTGGACTGCTCCAATCACTCCTGGCTGCCTGTCCAGCAGGCAGTGAGCACTACTGTCTGTTCACTGTCTGTCATCCAAGAGTGCAAACCTTTCTCAAGCTACATATTGGCTCTCTAGGTCAATTCTGGCACCTTCACAAGGGGCTTCAAACCAGCTTCTCTGCAGCTCAGATTCTGGGAAAAGTTCTCAGACCACCAACAGCTCTCTGCTGACCAAAAGTAGAGCACCCAGCCCTCTCAGGAGATGAGGACAGAAGGGCATCAGGACACAGAGCACAGGGCAATCTCCTGCTACATTAAATGTGTGGTGGGAAGAACAGCACCACCAACATGCCACATAAATCAGTCATCTAAATCAGAATACACAAATCCACTCCAGAAAAAGTTTAATGTGGGTTCCTGGGGCATCATATTCTAAAAAAAAACAAAAAAAACCCAAACAAACCAAAAACCAAATACAGTACAAAGAAAAAAGGCAAACAGAATTCCCTGGTATTTGAAATAATTAAATGTATCAAAGCTCTGTCTATTACAAGGCTGCACATCAGAGCAGCTGCTGGAGGAAGCAGTACCAGCTTGAGGACCAGGAGGCTTCACCTCCTGGAGACAGCCTGGAATAAACAGCACCAACCAGAAAACCTGGCTCCTCAGGGCTACTAAGACTCCTTGAAAGGCAAAGGGCAGAACTCTGCACTGCAGTGAGCTGCCCAGCATCCCTGCTGCTGGGAGATGAACCACACAGGCTGACCCCACAGTGCTGAAGCTCTGTGAGAGGACATATCCTGGGAGGAGTGGCACCTTCCAGCAGATTCCACCAACTGCATGGCAAAACCTACTCATCTGAGAAATCCTGGTATGAGAGGAAAAAGAGCCATTACAACAGCCAGTCAGGAGACCAGGAAGGACTGAGACACACCATGCTACTGGCTGGGAGCAGAAACAAGCAATGGATCTCGAGTTAAAGAGGTCAGCCCAGTACAGACACAGTGCCAGGGATTGCCTGTGGTACCCTGTCTCCCATTCAGCCTTTGAGGAATCTTAACATATTTTAGGCAAGAACCTCTGCTGGTCTCTGCCTCAACCCTGTCCCATTCAAACCAGGGCCAACTTCAACATCCAATTAGTTCAGGGCCTTCTCCAGATAAATACTGATTTATCTCCAATCATAGAGATCTCAGGACTCCAGCACATCCACAGTAGGCAAAGCATGGGCCATGGCAGTACTTCTGATGTACTTGGGCTACAGAGCAGCCACCTTGGAGCCAAGGGAGAGCTGCTTTCCTTCCAGCTGTCAATTTTCTTGTGACAACAGTATAATTTGATATGGCCTACACCTAAGGGCAGTGACTGTTCCACTGCAGAGCAGGGCTGCTACAAAGCACTCATTTCCACAGGTACTGTGTTCCAAAAGCAGCCAAGCCTCCCTGATGTGCAGCTCAAACAGACAGAAACCATGAGAGCTGAGGGAAAAGTGGTCAGCCCAGTGTAGGCACAGTGCCAGGGATTGTCTGTGGTACCCTGTCTCCCATTCAGTCTTTGAGGAATCTTAACATATTTTAGGCAAGAACCTCTGCTGGTCTCTGCCTCAACCCTGTCCCATTCAAAGCAGGGCCAACTTCAACATCCAATTAGTTCAGGGCCTTCTCCAGATAAATACTGATTTATCTCCAATCATAGAGATCTCAGGACTCCAGCACATCCACAGCAGGCAAAGCATGGGCCATGGCAGTACTTCTGATGTACTTGGGCTACAGAGCAGCCACCTTGGAGCCAAGGGAGAGCTGCTTTCCTTCCAGCTGTCAATTTTCTTGTGACAACAGTATAATTTGATATGGCCTGCACCTAAGGGCAGTGACCCATGGCTGTTCCACTGCAGTGCAGGGCTGCTACAAAGCACTCATTTCCACAGGTACTGTGTTCCAAAAGCAGCCAAGCCTCCCTGATGTGCAGCCCAAACTGACAGTAACCATGAGAGCTGAGTTTGGAAAAGCTGGAGGAGCACTTATTCAAACAATGGAAAATAGAGATTCCTATGGAGAACAAAACTGTGAGCTCAGAGGAGGACCTATGTCAACAAAGGAACCAGGTGATGTGAGACAGCCTCAAAAATATAACAAACATTAAGTAACTCAGGTGCTCAGTAAACACTGCAGGCATGACAGGGCCATCATGAAAAAGCTAAGATTACAGTTGGAGAATATACCAAGACTTTTAAAGCCTGCTGGGAAGCAATAAAACCTTTGGTGACACCAATCCCATGGACTCCCCAACAAACACTAAATATGAGCAGAGAATCTGCAGATCTAGATGCCCACTGAAAAACTGAGATAAACAGAGGAGTGGTGGGGAAGGGCTGAGAGACTTCCTTCTCCTTGCCACTTGCCTCACAGAGAGGAGAAGCACCTCTTCCCTGGTGCTGGCAAAGGGCCCTCTCCTGTGGCATGTGCACCACACCAGGTGAGCCTGTTGTCCCCACACTGCCCTGACATGTGCACACGTGAAGGCTGAGATACCCTCCAGACCACAGGGATCACCAGATTTTCTGCTATGACCCCAGCAGGAGCACAAAGCACCCCAAAGGCCAGTCAGGTGCCTCCAGGAGCTGACAACAGCGTGGCCCGCAGCCCCTGTGGCACAGCCCCCACGCGTGGGGAGGAACGTGTGCCCAAACCCCGCGGGTCAGGCAGATGGAAGGGCAGGCTCTGGACATCCAGGACGGTGGCAGGGAGCCGGGCATCCCGCGGCCCGGCCCCAGGCAGGCACGCAGAGAGCAGGCAGGGCAGGAGCACAGCGGTTTATTGGCAACACGAGCAGAGGCGGCGGCGGTGGTGGCGGGCCCCGAGCGGGGTGAGGGGCGGCGGTGCTCCGGCGGCGGGGCCGGGGCCGCCCCGGGCCTATGTCAGCGTCTCGCCCTTGGTGACCTACGGGAAAAGGAAAAGTCTCAACCAAGGCCGGCCCCGGGCCCGGCTCGCACCCGGCCCACCGCCCCGCTTCTTACCCGGGCTTCGATGTACTCGATTCTCCGCTCCAGCGCCGTCAGCTTCTCGTTGAGGGTGGCCAGCCGGGACCGGCACGACATGTCTGTGGGGAGGCGGCAGTGAGACACCGCGGGCCGCCGCACGGCCCGGCCCGCCCGCAGCCCCCGCCCCGCGCCCTCACCGAAGGAGTTGAGGAAGTCCGCGATTTTCTTGATGGAGCTGGTGATCACCTCGATGTACTCGCGGTTGGCCCAGTCCTGGTGGATCTCCCGCTGCACCGGGTCCTCCTGCACCGACATGGCCGCCGCCGCCGCCGCGCCTGCGCGGGAGCCGCGCCCCGCCCGCCCGCCGCCTCAGGGCC